CCTTAAGCCTCAACCGCCTCAACCCAATGATGTTGGACATGTTTGGCATGAGCCATCCAAAATTTTGCTCGTACCCAGTTTTGACCCACAGGAAACAAACTTGCTGCTCAAACCTGCCGGTACAAAACCAGGTGTCAACTTCTTCCAATTGGGGCGCATCAATTGCCTGCTTCCAAACCAAAAGTCCTCCCCCAGCTTTGTGGTTTCAACAATTTGGTTACTATTTACTATATATCTTTACGTACGAGTAGTCGACTCTGGAAAGTGGAGGGTAAAATTGAGGGCTGCCCATCCAAAATCAGGGTTAATTAGTCAATTGAATTCCAGGCAAACTTTTGCCAAGCTGCCCCACTCCCCTTAAAGAGAAGGAAATACCCTCAGCTGTCACAACAGAAAACGGTCTGATCGCTGCCCAAGGTGGGAGACTTAGAGAAGGTGGCCCAGTTCTCAGATTTAGACTACTGGATGGGCTCCACAGCCAAAATTAGTGTGGATGTCCCCCATGTTTATGAATTTTATTAGGAGCATCATTTACCAGGGAGTCCATACAGTATTTGGTACATGTCCAAGTCCATGGCTGTTTTACAGGTAATCGCATAACTTAACTGCGCTTTTGCAAAATGCAAGGCCATCAACTTCCGACAAGTCCTTCCCTAGGGGGTCGTTGTTTGCTTTGCGGGGGGACTGATATTTGTATTCAATTTATTCAGTTTTGTGCAGAAAGTCGCATGAAAACGAGACATGTGATATGTGTCGCAAAATCACTCCCAAGGAACTACAAAAGTCGGCGATTCTTGTATTAAGCCCCAACTTGTCCCAAAATAAAAATGATCTATAAGGTCTATGAATGGAATACGTAGAATTTGTGTTACTTGCCATGCGTCCTGGTACAAGTCCTCCATCAACCTAGATTCTTTTTGTATGTTTCATTTCACTGTGAAAGGTGAAGCCATGCAATTTTTGAGGGGAACTCAAACCAAACGAGCGTTATTCTAGGATATTCTAGGGGTGTTCCAAGTATGTTAAATAAACAACTCTAAAATCCTTACTCCCTTTCACATCAACAACTGGTGATGTTTTTTGCTCTATATGGGAGTGCTGTATGTCAAGTTCAGCTTCGGCTGAGGAGATCTGGATCAAAAGTAATGTACACTGAAATCTCATAACTCCCGTCTTCATTGCTTATATAGATGAATCCAGTGTTCTTCCTGCAATGTCCGTGCACAAGGCCAAGTTGCAACAAACGGCCACCCCTCGCCTACAAACGGCGTCCTCACGTGCGCCACCTGGGGTTGTTGAAAGAAATCCAGTAGGGTTGACTTCGTATGCTTGAATTGCTGTAGTTGTGTCCCATAGTATTGGGTAATCCATGGTAATCCCACCAAAAAATGGCTTACAGGTTGATAATCTATGTCAGTTCGCGGAAATCGATGGTTGGTGCATCGCTCCGCGCTTGGACTCTCGGACACACAAAAACACTTTGCTACTGGTCACGATCCCTTCCATCATGCGAGGAAGTTGAGTTTCAAGACGCCGCAAGCTACCTGAACAGCCAAATTTACATGGATACTTATTAAAGATTTACAAAGGCGGGAGATCCCCGGAATCCCTCAATTTGTTCATTAATTTTGTAAATAGAGGGACTGGAATCACTTGCCATATCACAGCAGTTGATCAGAGAACAGCTGCCGGCCTTTCTACCTCCCCTGGCAAGGAATCTCTGTGGCCACATCTTTCTCAGCGATTTCCTGTCGGTCAACGGTGCTGTCCTTGGTCCTGCCCTCAGGAAATGTAGGAACTTTGCCAGTTGAACAGAAGTGAGATGGGTATCAGTAGCTTGTTAAACCCACACATAGGACTGTCATTTAATACTATATATTGTTTAATATAAGGAATGCCAAAATTCTGTAGCTCCCTGGGTCTTGAATCTTTGGCCCATGCCCTGGCCACACTGCTGGCCACACTGCTGCTGAACCCTGCAAAAGAGTGATGTGCAGCAGAATCTTGGAAATTCCCAGTGTTTCAAGGGACTTGCCTAAATTTGGGGAATTTGGCATGCACCCCAAACCGCTTTTTGCCATGTCAATGTCCTGTTGCGCACGACTTCAGGAGTTGGAGATCGAACGAGAACGGCGACAGGCGGAACCGCAGCCGGTGGCGCGACTCGTTTCTTAGATGGTCAAGCTGATCAATCCGAACAATCTGTACTAGCCTAGCTGCATCTAACATCATCCAACTAGATTTTACCCGATCTAAGCCCGCACTAGATGTGCTATTTTTCTATAATTCATTATAATTCATTATATAATCCAATTAGGGGAATAAAGTCGGAATATGGTTTCATCATTTGTTTGGCCACCTTGAGGAAAACTTTGGTACAATTTGTTTGTTTTAGCATTGTGCGATATTTTAACATCTCAAAGTCCATAGTTTCAGCAGTTTCAAGATCATTTCCAACCTACAAGAAGTATATTTACATATTTATCCAACCCCAAGGGCAGTTTAAGCTATATATTTATGCCATATATATATATAATATATATATATATTTATGCCATATAGTTGAGCCATATTTAGTTGTTCTTTTGTTGACCATTACGATTGGTGAGGCGGCGGAGAAGGAGCTCGAGGAGCTGCGGAAGAAGTTGGCCGAGAGCCAACGGCAAAGTGCGGCTGGGGAGCCCATGGCGACACTGTGGCAGTCGGGTGTTTGGGTGTTTTTTCCATGGGGAAATCCATGGGGAAATCCATGGGAAATCCAATATAAATCAGATATAAACTGTTTAAGAAATCCAAGTTACTTGAGGATTGTTTTATGTTAATCATAATCATAGCCCAGATGTAGGCCACGGTTTAAGGCTTCAGGTTTGCCACAGTAGTCACATTGCGGGGACCAGAGAAATGACAACAAGATCGGTCATTTCCAGGAGCAAACTATCATAAACCAAGCAGTATGTTGGGAGCAGGCCAAAGGTGGATGATGATGGATGAGTTGAGTATAATGATGTACAAACTGTGACTAGGTTGTGCGGTGTCCATGTTAAATGTTTAGAAGCTGCTTTTAGCTTGTGGTCTGTCTCCCATCAACAGTTTCCTGAGAATAATGATTCCAAGACAAATTAAATATATACATTTCAAGATATTTCAAGTAATTACTGTTGGTATTGAATTGACCAGATATGATTAGCCTTTCCATTTCAATCTCACTGTGACCATCCCACATTTGGAGTTACACGTGAATCACCATCCAGTGATCCAATGATGATCATTCCATCATCCCATTTGATCAACATTTTGCTGATCATATCCCAGAGTCCCAGGTGTTTGTCTTGGAAAAATCTGCACCATAGATTTGGGATGATTTGGAGGGAATTTTCCAGACTTTTCCTGTTGATTTTCCCACCAATTCAGAATGGCACCGCGAGGCCTCGTCGCAACCCAGCAATTCTGAGACCTCCAAACCCACATCCAAGCGGTCGTCGAAGTCCTGGCGCTAATGCCGTCGAAGCGGTTCACCAGAAAAAAATATGGTGATGTCGTATCATGTCACAGCTTCAGAATTGGTGCACCAAATAGATCCACAACTTTGACTATTTACTATTTGTTGATAAAAGTCAACCATTGAATGTTTGGGCAGTGCATTTGATGATAAGAATTGGCATAGTAGCTATTTTTATCAAGGCATGAGTAGAGTATCTACAGGCATGTGCACGTGCACATTGCTTGAATGCAAAGTTTGTTGGGAGGATTCCACCACCATTTGACCATTTGGGATGAATAACCTCACCGCCGTTTTTGGTTGTTGGAAGTGTATGGTACACGACAGATTGGCCCTGTTTAGGGCAAATGATTGATGACACACACTATAAACCTGAGTAATGTATAATAATTAATAATATTGATTAATATCGCATTAATATAATTATGATTAATTATGTGTTATGTATTGGACATTTCCATAAACATCATGACATGTGTCTTTTTTCGGCGGTTGGACCCAGCCAGTGAACCCAGTTCCCCCAGCCAGTTGAACACCAGCTGGTCGTCTCACCATGGATCTCCAAAGGCGAAAAATCACCAGTTTTTGGGGATATGAAAAATACCAGGAAAACTATGGAAAGCTGCTATTTTGGGGATTATTTGGAGGATTAGGTTGATAGCTATTATTATATAACTATTATATATTATTATATTATATTTGTTGCTCTATTTGGAAGATTAAGTTGATCATTTTTGATATTTTGATGTTGTAATTTTTTGTAATGACGCAATTTCTGGGTGATTGGTCCCGGCTACATCCATGTTGGAGCCCTAGTTTGATTGAAGATCGGGGAAGGTGAGCATCCAGTTGAGCATCCTCAGATAAAGTGTTCCTCAAGGCACCAGAGGTTTGACTCAATACTGATACTAGTATCTTGATTGAAACGGTTCGATAGATAATGATATCATATGATATCATTGTATATGATGTTATATAATTATTTGGATTCCTGTTTCAACCAATTGTTGATATTGTTGTACGCTGTACAGTATGGGCTACTCTTGCCGCGACAGCCTCGGTGATCAATGTCATGTGCATTGCTAGCCTTCATGCATTGACCATCACAACATCAAGCAATCGAGGGTCCACCGGCTTTGAGACTCAGGTTTTTCGCAGCTTTTGACTTACATTTGATAATCAAGGTTGATCATGACAAGCAGAATTTGCGAGTCTTTCATAGTCTTTCCATTTCTGAATGTATTGTTTGAACGTGTTTGAACAGGATGATTCATTTAATCCTAATGGACATGTTAAATTCAATGTAAAGCCATCTCACTGACTCAGGATGCGTGATACGATCAGCGAGCTTAAACAAGGCAGACCAGACACGTCACCATACAGAGTCCTTTGCAGCCCCCAGATAGCTGCCAGTTTTGATTTTGGAGCCAGAGTTGAATGAAGTACCATTGTACCATCCGTAGCCTGTGTCTTTTACCCATGTCCTACGGAATCTCCCCATTTCTGTGGTTTTCCACACGCCTGGGATGACCATAACCACCATGGACGAAGCCGATTCTCGACCACCGCTACTGGTGCGGGTGAAGAGGCCTGATGGATGACAGGTTGTTTCATGGGATGATCATTGATTGCAATGGAAGTACGTGTGACAATAATCCATACAATAAATATCAATCAATTCCAATCATGGATGTTACAGAAATGGTTGATGTTTATCCAAAGGTAATTTTCCACTAATTGTTCATGATAATCAACTTGGAATAGGTTGAAGCCGCTCACCAGAAGTTCTTGATGCGCCGCATCACCGTGAGCCCAGGCGCTTGGATGAAGAACCACTTCCAGAGATCTTGGTGGAGGACTTCCAGCATCTCAGCACGATGCAGATCACCGCAAACTAGATACACATGGACTGGATTCTTAAGAAACATGTTTGGGGAACTTCTACCGTATTGATCCCTTCGTTGTGACTCGGGGGTGTCAAAGCGTGGGTTCATCGCCCAACAGATTTTGGCGGGCCTTCATTATTATTGATTCTGATCTCAATTTATAAAATACTTGTAGTGTACCGTATCATCTGAGAGCATCGGATAACTATTGAGACCCCTGTCTTTTGGTGCCCAGCGGGCCTCTGAGCCTCATGCTGGGTCACTTCCAGGAGCCCCGGAAAGCGTCAGACAAGCGCTGGAGGCTCAGATACCTTATCAGTCGAGGGTCAAACACGGTCAAACACCAACCTGGATTGTGACTGCTGGTGGCTCCATAATATGCCCTCTACTGTGGGAGAATCTTGAATTTTGCTTGTTAACTTGTTTCTCCACAAACGATAGACAGGCACTGCAGGTAAATCAGATTCTCCACCTTCATGTCCCAAGAATGACAGTTGGTCCAGAATGTCATATTTGGCCCGTATGCCCATCAAAACCCTGAGGTGTGAGGCCAGATGCCACTGCTGCAGCCTTGCGATTAGTGGATTCTGTGGGGTGTGGCACCCAGAGGTTTGTGCTGCACGCCACCTATGCGGTGGGAGAGGTTAGGGGAACCTGCTCAGGATGACCGGTGATTTAGCCGATATCTTGAGGGCGTCGCCTATATAGGAGGCTAAACTGTCGGAAACAATTTTTGGTAAATCCAATAGCCGTGTATATTATATATTAGAAGATACTATAGAAGATATTGAGACAGGGTTCTAGTCCAGATGCTTTCATCGCTAGCCCACCGTCCCCGTCCCGGAGTTCATTGGGATCACCAGGGTCACCAGCTGAGGTCCCAGCAATGGCCCGACGAGGTTTTGAGCTTAGATCCACTGTATTTCCTACCTCCAATATGGCCCCTTAGCGGTAGATTTTATGAGGTATACAATCAACCAGGAAGCCGGTATGATCACAATGGGAAGTCCATATTTGAAGTTTTAAAAACTCTCCAAAGTGGAACATTCTTGGGATGAAAACAGCTTGCCAACATCCCTAGGATTGTGTTCCTAAGATCATCCAAAGATGAACTACATTTTCCATGCAATGATGGGCCCCAATCCCAAAATCCAATGGGCGCGACTGAGTAGTTCCAACCGCATCCTCATGACTGGGAGTTGGCCGATTGGAGTTGATCAGGGCCATGGCCCCCCAAATCAGATAGACAAACATCCTATTTTTTCATGATGTACTCTTTTCCATCTCTTTTTCACCTGTTCGATCCTTTTAGGGACGATTTCTACAGTAATAGTAGCTACCGAGGCCCATCATTCCATCATGCTTGTTTTCCGCTGGGCTCAGGAGTACGGTTTGCCTGCCAGTTGGTTCCATGCCGCAGCCAACGCCTCATGGCCTTCCACCATGCCTGAAGGACAGGCTGTCAATGCTGTCACGGCTTGGCCCTGTCTCTCCTGATATCTCCTGATGAAATGGTTTGTTTACGCTGTACTTCTCCTTGAACTACAATTCCTTTGTTGGTAGAATTGCTATGAATTGCTTGGGAAGACTGTGGAGAGATGTTCTTGCTGATTGCAGACAAACTCACCATGCAGCATTTACGTAGCAGTTCTCATCCTTGAACTTTGCTGCTCACCAGCACAGGATGTCTGCAAAAATTGCCAGCGGTCCCATCCCTTCACGAGGCAGCTCCGCACGATGTGTCGCATCTGACAGATCCCTGAAGCCAGTCAAATGGTTGTTCTGAAAAGGTAGCCCCAAATTTGATGGTTTATCATCATTTTCCCAATTAAATTGGTCATTTACAGTAAACCCCATACTGTACCCCATTTTTGGGTAAACCCATTTGAAGAAACAATCCTGGTCTGGACTGATCTGGAAGCCAATTCGTGTTAAAGCTCACTTGTTTGATCCCCAAGGCATCAAGACGAATGATTCAGAGGCTGGTACGTGGGACACGCATGGACAAACATCCAAAGACTTCATGATGGGTTGGTTCTAAATTCAAGAACGTTTTTCATTCACCAGCATGTTTGGCTGGATTCCGGCTGGATATGCTCTTAAGGTCGTAAGATGTCGTAAGTTTTCTTGCATCTTCAAATGTCTTATCGCTTGGGACCTGCAGCTTTCAGCGCACACACACACACAGAAGATCACACAAGATGTCAAACACTTGCACCAGTTGGGTTAGGAACCACCGGTTTACCGCGTCACTGAGCCTTTCGGTGCGGATGACTTGAACATATGGGCATGACTGGCATGACTCAAAATTCAAGACCCCGGGGTCAATAGATTTTGATCAATGGTAAACCATTCGACGATTCCATGTTTGGGTACTGTGCCCAATCACTTGAGAAATATGAACAATACCATTGCCATACAGTACCCAGCAGTACCCCTTGGTCATTTGTGGTTGCCATTTGTATCCATTCGTTGATTGTTAATTCCTCAGTTTGGATGGTGAATGCTGTCGCCAGTTGGGATGGTGGCACCATGCTCATCGATGTGGACCGCGAGGACACTGAGATGTCCGCTGTGCAAACTCAGGCGCGGGCTCTGCGGTCCTGCTGGGCTGGCAATGGGGGTTTATACGCTGTAGATATGTACGTATTCTATTTTAATATATATATATATATTATATTATATATATTATATTGTAGTTATACATAGTCACATATACAACATACTTATGGCAAACAAAATACATCAAAATACAATGGATGGGACTGGTCGTATAAGCATGTAAACTAAGAAATGAGGCAAATCCCAAGCAACTTGACAAACCAGCGGTTGTGATGTATGATGAGGCCCCATGATCTTGGTTTGGTAGGTCGACAACAGCTGGGAGTCCAGATTTGTGCGGTTTGCTCTTATCAACTGCCACATGTTTGATGGCAAAGGATTTGCGTAAAAAGGAACCATTGAAATTTCTGACCAAAATTGTTGTTGTTGCGCTACACTGTGATTCTACAGCTTCCTCTATGTCACAGTTTTTACATGTTTTTACTGAGTAGTTCTACTATGTTCTACTATATAGTTCAAAGTTCCAAGATCATCGAATCATGCAACATATCAACATATATCATATATCCAAATTTCCCATGTTGTCCGGGTACCACTGGATTTTTGTGAGTCAACTCTGGACGCAGGAAGCGGCACCTGCCTCCTTCACCATCAACGGTGTGGAGATGGTGGCGACGGCAGCTCCTGCATCGTCGCTTGGATGAAGCATCCAAACCAGCCCAAAGTGGCCTGAATTGAGGTTCATACTGCTGTATAATGATTGTTTATAATTGTGTTTAATTGTTTATGACTAAGATGGCTTATAATTTCTATATGTGCAATGGTCAAAAGACGCTATGAAAGGCTTCAATTACGATCCGCCATCACTACTCAAAACATGTGATTTACTGTGTGTAGCGATAGGGGGCCTTGTGTAGCGATACCTCTTTTTAGACTTTGTTTATGATTGAACCTTCCTGTTGGGCGCATGACTTTCCAATCTTTTGATGTCAGAGTGCGACACTGGAGCAGTCGCAGTGGGCTGGTCTTCCTGGGTAGTTGCAAGATGGCCTGTCGTCAAGTATATATGAGATAGTTACATTAAACAATGTTGATATATTGTGGTATGTTGATCTATAAGGTATGCAAGAAACTAATTCATAACGCATCATGAGCTTGATGATGGTGATGATGCTGATGATGATGGTGATGGTGATGATGTTGATTCAGATAGTGACCGTGCTGAGATATGTTGAAAAAGCATCCTTGTGCGGTCACGGACGCTTCTCCAAAGCCACTGTCCAGGAGTAGAATTGCAACATGGAGCTTGTCAGAATTTCGTGTCACTTGAAACATACCCCTGAGATCACAAATTTTCTGGTCCCCGTAGCGATGCCCGAAGCGATACCCCTCGATACCCAGAGCGATACCTGAAATCCATGAAATTAGGGAGTACCCCACATGGTCACTTGAAACTATACAACTTGTATAACTTGTGCTATAGGTGGAAAAATATGGGAAGTATGAACAAGGGTACCCTCAAGTTCTTAATGGGTTAGTTCTTAAAGGGTTCATTTGGTCAGGGTTTTGCCGATTCATTTTGGCGTGGTATTAGGTTGCAAAGGAGGCGGGGTGAAGAAAAAAAGGCGCCGGAGACAAGGCAGCACAGGCAAGACAAGCCAAGACAACACAAGCCAAGGGCAGCCTCCGAGGTCAGATGACCTGCAGTGAGCCCGGCTGGTGTCTAGCTGAAGCTGTCGACGTCAGCCTTGGTGACCACGTAAAAGTCTGAATTTCCCTGGAGATACCGTCGCAAGAGGAATAAGAATCCGATTCCTCATCTGGATCCTCTTCTTCTAGCAGCAATTCTGCCTAGTTGGTGAAAAGGGTGCTGGGACTGTGTGTAGTGATAGGGGGCCTTGTGAAGCGATGCCATGACCTCACCACATGAATTGAGTTTTGACCGTCGCACATATAATGGATTACCATGGCATGATGATGGTTTATAGTGGTTTATGTAACAGTTATGTATGTGATGGCATGATCGACAAACAACAGACTCAAAAATACATCATCCTTGGTAATTGAAGATACCCAAGCACCCCGGCTGCCCCATTGATCTCCAAACTTTGCGGATCTTTTCCAGGGCCTCATTCTCGTTTTTCCAGCTGTCAAATTCAAGGGTGGTAACTTGAAGATTGATGTAGTGGTAGCAGAACATGGTAAAACCTGAATTGTACCAGAGACTTATGACGTATGTGACTTGTTCAGGATCAAGTCGTCTGCAGACTTCGTGTGGGACGTCTATGCGTAGGGCAACTGAGGTTTGAGGTCTTCGCGAAATGGGTGGTTGGATGCCTCGTGCCCTCTAAACTTGGGTCCCACGGATTCTATTGCTGTAGACTAGATCAAATATATAGATGGGATGACTTACTCACATAACTAAAAATCAACAAAATTGACTGGTACCTGCTGTTGTATGCCCAGCATCAGGAGTTGATTCCACTCTGGTATGTCCTTCACGGTGGGACTCCCCTGGGCATGGGTTGTTCAAACGGACCATTTAAGCTTTTCAAAGACAAAAATGACTGCAATTCTCTCAGCCACTCTTAAAAGAACTAGATTGATAATTTACGCAATTCACAGGTTCCAACATTTCATGGATTGTGGCGTGACATGGTTGTGCTTAACATGATTCAAACATATTGTATTCAAATTGACCATTCACTAATACCAGTTGCATATTGACCACAACTTCCACAAACCATATACATATATCATATTGGGATTTAGATATTTAATACGCTGCAAAAACTCAATGCGACCTGTTTTCATTGTTTTCATTATTGTGTTTTTAATGTTCACCCTGACTGGTACTGGTGGATTGTGACGAAGATGGCTTAACGGCTTAACCACCAGCTATTAACATCCCCTTCTGGGCTGTTTTAAAGTCAAGAAAGGGTTTAAGGGTTTTACACCGAACAACACATAAAACATCACATTTTTGTTGTTCCTTGTTACATGTTTGAACCATCCCCACGAATCGATGGGTCAAAATCTATGGTTTCCCGGGGATGGACATCCAGTGGATTTCTGGTGGAATTCTGGTGGAATAGAAATCCACGTGCCAATTTGATCCAAGGCTCAGCGACACCCCTGCGCCCAACTTGGCCGCTTCGCTGCGCTTGCAGGAGACCGACCCTTGCGGACCACATGGAAATCAGATTTTTTGGGTAGATTAGATTAGGCATGCCAGCTTTGAAGAAGTTTGAAATATCCCCAAATGATCCAGAAATAGGATTTCTGGAAAGCTTTCAATGACCAAAACGGAAATGCAAAAGTTGATACAGCATGATACATGAATTGGTGCACATCCCATCAACTATCCATAATTAATTCATTTATGACATACAAGTAGTGCCTGCAGGTCCCAGCACAGGCGGGCTGGTGGGAGGCTTCGCTTCCAACGGACCAGGACCCGCTGGAGCTGGATTTGGTCCTCGCCTTAGCAAATGGTGGCAACGCGACAGCAACAACTGGCCAGTTTTCCTGTTGGATGGCCCTACCTGTTTTTTTGTGGTGAGTTATTTTCATAACATGTTTTTAGATCATGGTTAATACAAAACATGACAAACATCTGTGGATCTTTTGGTACCCATTGGGTTGCCATGGCGGAAGGCACACAGCTCTCAGCGTCCGATCCTAGGAAGATGGTCTTGATGACCTGGAGGATATTGATGACAGCTCTGATGAAGGTTTGGAACACTGGGGGATACTGGGGGAACCCCGTAGGGTGCCCCTTTTCGGGTACGGCTCAAAATTTCAAACACGGTTTTAGATGGTTTTAGCAGATCATTTATAGATTATCCTTAAGCATTAGTGGTTTCACTCTCAGAAGCATTAATTTTGGGGGTCTATGGGTGCCTGGTTTTGAGCCGCATCCAAATGAGATACCAGTTGTCACAACCCAAACTTGACATGACAGAACAAAGGACAGTCTAGCAAAGAACCCCTCGGTGTCATGTTTTGGCTGCTGGGGGGTTGATTTCGCCTGATTCTTAATGATTCTTACATTGTGATGCTTGACATGTTTTCTGCTGATGGTGATTCAGAGTGATTTTAGCCATACGTTCTGACCTTTCCTTTCCTCTCTGGCGGAAATTTTCTCGGTCCTAGGCATTGTTGGACAGTACCTCATGGGCCGATTCATTTGAGCAGATTTTACACCACCAACGACACTCCACTGTTGATTTATGAAATGGCAAGACGGGACTTTGCAACGTATTCTTCCGCCAAAATAATTACTAATTACTTGGTCAACCCATCTGTTTTGCCATTACCATATTCCAAGATGAAGGGCCACCAAAATGACTGAAATAGGTCTACAACCACATGAGAAGGCATGGAGCTGCTGAGAATCAGAATTGAACAATTTCAACGATCAGATGATTTGGATTGTTCCGGTCCGGTCAGTCCATTGGTCATATTTGATCCCCACCTATCCCAAGTCATCCGAAGTACAGTTTCATCGAAGGTCGCCCGTGTGGCCCAGATAGCGATAGCGATGACTGGCATGAGACCCAGGCCTGGAAAGAACTCTGGGGACACATTTTCTCTTTGTTGCTACTGTATGCAAGATGTGCGATGGGTCCTACAACGTAATACATGCAGTATATAATATATAGATAAATTATATATCTCACATATTCTCGAATAGATTCTAATATCATCCAATATTCTCCAATATCCAATTATCAGATATAATATATTCAGACTATTTTGAACTTATGGATTTGCATTATATAACATTGTATTTTACTATAATGTACTATATTATATATATGTTATATTATGTTATACTATACTATGTTATACTACATTGCATTATATTGCATTACATTGCATTATATATATTGCATTATATTACATTATATTATCCTCTAAAATATTACATGTTTTACACTACTACATTATAGTATATTGCATTGTACAATGTTATAGTTTTAGTATACAATTCTACTGTATTGCGTACTGTATATAAATACAATCTAATGTAAGATACAGACATATATACATACATTTGAAAAAATATAAACAACACTGCACTATTAAAGTACATAGTATGTTGATATTCAAGGCAAGGATGTAGTACTTTAATACGTATCATGTATATGTAACGTCCAAACCCTGGTGTGAATGAATTGTCCCATGCAAAAAAATACAACATCACTGAAGCAGCAAAGACAGCTGGGACACGTTGTCCATAGTGACATCTCTGCAGTGACTCAGCTGGAAACCGCCAGGATCATTCCAATTGGACCGACGTGTTGGACTGAGCGTGGCCAGGTGACGTGGCCGATTCCTCATGCAGAGTATGTGCGGATACAGCCTGTTTCAGCTATCTTCAGAGATCCAAAATTCTACGAGCTGCAAGGGGTGCAAGTCACATCAGCAAACATAATTTCTTTCAACAATATTTTACAGCATGATTACAGCTGGTGGAGGCCCATCATTGAGATTAGAAAGGCATGCCAATGCCGCACTTCCAGGAGGCTGCCACGTCTATTTCCTGAGGTCCATGACGGATAGTTCGGATCGGGACCTCGACTCGCGAAGAAAACGAAAATGTTAATTGCGCAAGCGCTTTGCAGATGGCCATGAAACCCAGTGGCCATGTTGCTTGCTGCTAATTAAGTCAACTATACATATACATACATAGTTACATATACAATGATATACATACAGTTGCAAGTATCAGAGTTCCACTCCTCGACTACGTTCGAATAGAGACAGATGTGGATGACATGGTATTTTTGCATGTGTTTCCACTGCCGAATATGGCTCACAGCTTTCTGCACCTGGGATTTAGCATCCTGGCGCCTCCAATCTCTTTTTGGCCTTGAAAGAAGACTTTCCCAAGAAACAGAGCAGACGATCATACACTTGCGCAGGCTTGGTTTAGGCAACGGGAAGGCAAGATTCCCAAGACAAACCCATGACTCCCAAACGATTCGAAACCTGCATGGTCATTTTTGTGGTTGAACTCTAGTACTGTAGGATTGGGATCTGCAACTATGCCATGGTATGCCAGCAGTTTACAAGAGTTCTTGGAGATTCACTTGGCACTCGCTGAACAGTTTATTGCCATTCCCATGGCGAAACATGTGGCACACTTGCGACACCACGGTGTGCGCCCTGTGGGGCTTCGGGTTTTGTGGTCCTGGGGTTGCTAATTGTTGAAAATGACAGCGACATGAAACGACAACTTCATGAACTAGCAGATTCTCAGCAGATTAAGTGAACCTACATGGACATACTTTAACATAGCATTTCCCCGGGAAATGCTGGGAAATGCAATCAGCTCAGAGTTGCTCACAGCAGCAAAACTAGAATTCGAAGCACCACAGGTCAAGATTGATTTGAGCGAATTCCAGTACACCTGACTGAAGTGACAACATGAAGAACATTGGCCTTGATGAAATTTTGGCAGCCATTGGCACGAACGACAAAGATGGCTTCACCAGGTGACGAAAGCTCAGAAGAGTTTGCCAATTCAAATGATTCAACACAATGTTTCCTTCAAAAAGAGTTAGCTTAACCTGCGCAGAGATTTAATTTGTTGCTGACAATCCGAGAACAAGTTGGACATCTTGACATATATGACGTATATTGACGTATTATTTATGATATTTTGCGACATTTTAATTTTGACGCATCTTGCGCATCTTGCGCATCTTGCGCATCTTGCGCCTTGCCGGGATCCGCCATGCAGCGCCCTGGCACGGGAGCTGAAAACTATGAGGACTATCAGCGAGACATCGAGCGATACCAACAGAGAAGGAGAGGTGAAGAGCCAGACACTGCTGCCAGATCCAGCAGTCTTCCTCCAGGTCTCGGACCAAAAAGTCTTGCCGTGGCAAAACGTCTAAACATCATTGAACAAAAACAAATTCCCTGCAGAGCTCCAAAATTCCTGAACACAACCCATTTGATACTCTAGGCATACTGTAGGCATCTTTTAGTACGCTCACATTGTGTGAAAAGCCAATCCAGATCGATTGATCCAGGTTTTCTGGGAGAAGAACGTGGCATCCGCTCCAGTCATCTCACACACTTGGGTGGTTTCCGCCGTGAGTATCTGCACCGGAAGAGACGCGACTCGTGTCCCGACCTTGCGCCTGTGTCCTCCGACACGGACTCCAACACTTTGCCACCAGAAGCGGAGCCCCACGAACAGACTCTGGTTGGCACTTGTTGGGAGTGTCATGAATATCTGTGTTCAAGACGTTCCATACCGTCCATACCTTTTGAAGGGAGGAGTACCCTATAGATGTCGTTTCATGTTCTTCTTTTCAATCTTTTCAGCGGCAGTATCTTTCAGATTTCCATTTCTGTGATCCAACTTCTGGGGCCCGGCTCAGGAATTCATCTTTACTGCTGGCGGCCGAGATCGAGGATCAGATGAGTTTCATGGCTTTCTTTGTTGCAGACATGGTGGATGACAGCCCAGGCCGCCAGATCCGGCTGCTGACAGCCGATGGCCTCCCACCAAATTCAGCTCAAGCTCGAAAGAAGAAGATGTCAGTGGCGAAGGCATGTGTCAGTACTTTCAAGGCCTTCATTGCCACCGGAATTCTCTTCATGCCGCAAGCAATGACAAATGCCGGGTGGGGATGGGCTGTTCTGCTGATGTCATTTTCCTGCGTAATTTCAACGCTGGGAATTTTGCTGCTGGGTCAATGCCACCAGCATCACAACGTCTCGTATCCGCTGCTGGGCCGAAAGGCCTTTGGTGTCTATGGCTATTTCTTGATTGCTGGGCAGGTTGCCTTTTCCCAATTCTGTTTTTGCGCATCGTATTACATTTTCATCAGCACCACAATTCAGAACCTCTTTCTGGGTCATGGGATGGTGCCACCTAGCACGTTTGTGATCATGCTGCTGGTGGGCTTGGCTTTGACACCTCTGGGCTGGATACGACGCATTGGCAAAATGAAAGTCGCTGGTGGATGAATTCAATGTGTGTTTTTTCCATTTTTTCCCTTCATTCTCCATCCGTTCTTGGGAAGATGGCTCAAATTATTCACCAACTGTTTGCCATTCCGAACTGAGATGATTTACCAAAAGGGACTCGAAACCAGGTGGCTCAAACACCAGCCAAATTCATGTCAAATTGGTTGTCCACTGTGAAATTATTTCCATCATTAATATTCATATATATACATATACATATATATATATACATATATATACCCTGGAAGTCCAGGGACTCAAAAAGAACGTCCTCATGAAAATCCGTAGAAAGTGGATCAAAAAGGAACGTCCATGTAAAATCCTCATGATATACCTTTTGAGGTCCCGGACCTCAAAAGGAACGTTGCTATAAACATCCTGTTGATGTACCTTTTGAGGTCCCAGACCTCAAAAGGAACGTTGCTATAAACATCCTGTTGATGTACCTTTTGAGGTCCCAGACCTCAAAAGAAACGTGGCTATAACATGCTATATAATATGCTATAATCGTGTCCAAAATGAGGACAAATCTAGAATCGTGAGAAATCGTGAGTTTTCGTGAGTAGGCCCTCTAAAAGGACCAAAAAGGAACGGTTAAGGCCCTAAAAGGTACAATATAGCGATCTAAAATCGTGAGAAAATCGTGAGAAATCGTGAGTGCATGCATCACATTTTTGTGATTCGAAGACATCTTTAAACACATGGGGGTCATGGAAGCCAAACATCCATTGCTATAAACCCTCGGCCGTAGAATCCAACAACATTGCTGTAAACCCTCGGCCGTAGAACCTCGGCATTGCTATGGTTTCTCGGCGATGATCCCTTTTTGTGGCACTTTTCCTAAGGACTCAAAAAGTACGGCCTTGGGACTTTTAGGGATATATATATATATAGTGTGTGTGTGTGTCTTATTAGTCTTCGTCATGATATCCCATGGGATCCAATCCCATGGTTTTGGTACACCTTCCAAGGTGGTGAACCTCGCGGGGGACGTCATCATCATCACGGCCATTTTTTCAGTCGCCGCCACGGCCGCATTGAAGCTCTGCCGCGACGGCGTCTCGCAGGAAGTGGTGGCATTTGCACCACCCTCCAGGTGGGAGATGGATTGGGTTTCCTCAGGCCTGGGGTATGAATGATCTATCTATCTATCTAACTACCTATCTACCTATCTATCTACCTACCTCCCCTATCTAACTATCTATCTATCTATCTATCTATCCATCCATCCATCCATCTAACTGTCTATCTATCTATCTTAGCTAATCTTATCTAATCTATCTGTCTATCTATCTAACTAACTATCTATCTAACTATCTATCTATCTAACTAAGTATCTAACTATGTATCTATCTAACTATCTATCTATCTATCTATCTAACTATCTATATGTCTAACAAACTAACTAATCTACTAACCAACTAACTAACTAACTAACTATCTAACTAACCAACTAACTAACTAACTAACAAACTAACTAACTAACTAACTAATCTATCTACCTACCTATCTATCCATCTAACTGTCTATCTATCTATCTTATCTAATCTTATCTAATCTTATTTAATGTTATCTAATCTTATCTAATCTTATCTAATCTTATCTAATCTTATCTTTTCTTATCTAATCTTATCTAATCGTATCTAATCGTATCTAATCGTATCTAATCTTATCTAATCTTATCTAATCTTATCTAATCTTATCTGTCTGTCTACCTACCTATCTAACTATCTATCTATATAACTATCTATCTAGCTATCTATCTATCTAGCTATCTATCTGTCTATCTATCTATCTATCAATCTATCTATCTATCTACCTACCTACCTATCTATCTGTATATATATATATGTACAATTATGTACGTGTATAATTATACATATATACACATGTTTATACTTATATATAATATTAATATATATATATATGTCCATGTATTGTAATAATTCGTATATATGATATAGAACATTGAATGTAATTGCTGGGGTGAATATTGATTTGTTTGAAGCATCACTCTGGGTGAATTTACAAGGACCCCACTAGGACCTCACTGCAAATAATGGTATCGGTATAATAATGATTGGTGAGGGGATCTAAGCCTGAAGTCCTTTATTGACGATTGGTGAATTACTATACTTCAGCCAGAATAATATATACACCTAAGTTGTACCACAAGCAATTGGAGTCAGTTGTTCGGTTTGCCACATTCAATGGGAGGTTTCTTATTTGTTAATGGCTTTCCTGCTTCAATGAGTTAATTTCCAATGCTATTCGGAGCTGACCAGGGTTGCACAAATGAGCATCATCAGTGATGTCCTCTGTCTTGAAATTTGACCCATACCATCCCGAACCACCCCGTCCCATCCCATAACATATGTCCAACCTTCAATGTGGACCAATCTGGGATAAACAGCACATTTCAAGATAGATGATCTTAGATGATGCAGAATAATATTCGTCACTTTCGAGTCATGAATTTCCATGTCTATTTGGGATGATCCACTTGACTCCAGCAACCAGGGTTCTGATCTTCGCTGGCACATCTGTCTATGCCTTCGAGGGTATCGCGTTGGTGATACCCATCCGTGAGAGTATGGAGAAACCGGAGTATTTTCCTCACATGTTGGTGGCTTGGATGATGCTTTCCAGACCAAGATATTCTTGAATTGGGGGTATAGCCGCACCGCCAGCAACAATGGATGGCAATATCTTAGAGTCGACAAGTGACAACAGAACTGTGGATTTGCCAGGAATCAGGTGGATTTCAGACAAGAACAGATGGCACAAACGAAGAAAAACGAGAAGGGAGCCTCCAACAGTTTCACGAATTTCCGCTAGTGTCTTTGTTGTGTGTCCGTGTGTCCGAAGTTTAGGGACCCCCAAAATCCACCACAATCCTCCATCAATTCCATCCATCTGGGAAATTGAACTGCCAACTGATACTTTTTGAGCTGGAATTGCTTCATCCACAACTCAGGTGGCAGGAAAAATAGCTGAACCACTTTATTCTTAAGGGTCAAGTTTTCCAATTTCTGAGGTGGGAATGATGCTCTTCTTTGTGGTGTTTCTGACCGGCTTTGGAATCCTGGGGTACTTCGCCTGGGGGAACCACGTGAAGGCCGTTGCGTTGAACGAACTTCCTGGGACCATGGGGATGCTGATACAGTTGCTCTACATCATGGCGATTTTTTGCGGATATCCTTTGGCCGCTTGCTTCATGCATGGATTTTGTTTAATGGCCTGAAGAGTGTGAGGATCACCAATATGTAAAGTGAGCCATGAATTTCCTGAATATGCTATATATATATATATCTAATTATATATAATTATATAATATAATCATATAAAGTATATCATAATTCATTGTACACTGTATATCTTATGCTGACTCATTCATGTGGTATATACGCATATATAGATATAAGATGCATGTGTGTTTTTAATTGTTTTTATACCTCCAGTACATGTCCGCAGATTTGCATCCAACCTCACCGCGACTTGCTGAGGCGATTTTCCCCGCTTTCGCCATCATCGAGTCGAAGCTTTTCAGCGATGGGCCACCCACCTTGACGCGGAAGTGGTTGAAGAACTTGTTGCGGACCTTCATCACGTTGCTGATGGGAGCCTTCGCCTACCAAATGTCCACATATTTGTCACATGGCTTGGTGGTTTCACAGTTTCTAACATGTTTCCTATGGGATAAGATCACTTTCCATTCTGAGCTGTGAGTAACTCTCCACTGTTGGTCCTTGGGATTTGCGCAACGCAGTCCCATGCTGTGTCTTGGTCCCAAGCAGGTCCTTATTCATCTCCATGCTGGGCAGTTTTTGCAGCATCCCCTTGGCGATTATCTTCCCAGGGATGCTACATCTCAGGTTGGTGAAGGATTCGCCCAGATTGGATGCCTGGAATTGCTGGATTTTCTGGATTTTCCCACTGGATTTTGGGGATTGACTTCTGGTTTTCCCACTGGGGATCATTGGGGATGGCAAGCATATTTTATTTTTGCGCTCAAACCAATCCAAGGATTGGATTTTGATCTCAATTGGATGTGTGCTGGTCCCTGTGACTCTCTACGTGGACATCGTTCACATGAACTTGTGAGCTGCCACGGCAGCTGTTGGCAGCCGATGCTCTGGCAAGCAGGAAGCTGCCGAGATGCAAACGCACTTAGTTTCAGATGTTTCAGCAGTTTTTGCGACAGAAAAAACATGCCCAAGGTGAACAAAGCACAAGCGAAAACCCAAAGAGTTAATTGTTTTTGTAGTTCATACCAATTTCTTTTGTTTAGAGTGAGTATTGACACATCCGGGAGAGAAATGATTTTAACGAACATCAAACATCTAAGTTGGTTGCATCCTCATCATGAAGCTTTTGTGCCACTCTGGTAGGTTGACCAAGCCGCCACGCGATGACAGCTGAGCTGACATCTGATGAGTTCCTGCGTCTTCAGGAGGCACATCATCTATCTGTCGATTGATCTACCCCCCATTGTCATTGATAAGTCATTGATAATACCACATGGATACATGAATATTGGTGATAATACCACGTGAATATTGGCACATATTGGCACCCTTTCAGAATCTGCATCAGACTAGAGATGTCCACAGAGTCTTGTGCAGATGCTGGTTGTGAGCTGGTCCTTGGGACAGGAACTACTCAACCTGAAGATGCAGACCGAAGAACTACGGCAGGTGCCGTGGCTGTCTTAAAGATCCTATGTTCATTTCCACTGGTCCATTACAATCAATGTCTGGCATATCTGTATATTATATATATTATATATAATTTATTGTATATATACAGTGACATAGTAGGGATATGATTTAGCTTCATCGTTCAACCTTTGCATGCAATTCACACATTCCAGCTGTACCCTGTGCTGTAGCAATTTTTACTGATGCCTCCGTTGACATTGAAGGTTTCAGCTAAAATTATTCGAATGGGTAAAAATTGAAGAGTAATAAAGTCAAAATTGATTGAATTTACTTGAAATCGATTGTGAAGATTCGGACGCTGGCGACCACTCAGTTCTAGATGAACATTGCTAGGTGATTGGGAGTTTCCATGGATTTCTTATCGCAACATCATCAATGATCATCAGTATCATGGACAACTCATGACGCAGAGGGTTTGCAATAAGATCTGCGTGACACACGAACTTTATATACACTCTCCCACTCCTTCCTTACATGGGTTTGTCTGAAAATAGGGCACCCAAAAATCCAATGAATTCTCATCACTTTCCATATGAACATAGCCATTTGGGTATACCCTATTTTCAGACACACCCATAATCACCCATATAATAAGATTTAATTTTATGAACCCGGGCCTGCCGCATTGCGCCTAGCACGCGTCCAAAAAAGTACCCATCCGCAGTTTGACACCATTTTTGCCAGGAAAATGCGCGACTACTGCGGCATGTGCAAGAACCGCTGATGGGCAACATGGAAGCCTTACGGAAAGCTGGAGCAGGCCCTACGGCAGAAGATAGCCATGAATCGAACATGAAGATCAACTTCTAGGGATTTACAGGGTATGTACAGTCTTTGCAGAAGTTTGTCAACCATATGCATTTTTCAGGCTGAGCCGCGACATTTTTGAAGATGGATCAGATCAGACTGTTGTGATGTTGTGACCCTATGTGACCCTCAATTTGGGAGCATGCCATACCATACTTGTTTTGAATGTCCCGGTTCAGTCCATTTCGGACGGGTCCAATGTTTTTCACTTCAAATTCTTGCTGCAGGTGAAACCCTACGTACTTGTTGCTTTTGTTTTGTTGGTTACATCGTAATTGTATGTAATTGTTGCGGCGTTGAGGCTTGTTTTTGTTGGTTGCATTGCAATTGCCTCCAATTAATTAAATCTCATGGTTCACAGGTGAAATCCAAGTTCTTGTTGAAAACTCCTTATTTGTGAGGGTTAGAATATGTTACAATATAGATGTTTCTTAAGATGTCGGGACCCCAAACTATTGGTTTCCCCATTCAGAAACCACCAGGAGCTGTCTCTGGTGCCGTGGGAGCTGTGTCGGCCATTGGGCAACGTGCGGGAGCCTCCCTGAAATCTTCCCTGGAGACTTGGCCAATGGGATGGACATGGATGGACAATTTCACCAAGCCACCAATGGAACCACTAAGTTTCCAACATTTTCCGACGAAGTTTGGGTGTTTCTCGACAATTCATGTAACTTCATGTTCGAAATGGTGCTGGCAGGAAGTATTGGTTTTAAGGGCTTCTGAGCTTTCACCTTTGAAGAAATTGATTGTTGTAGACATGCTCGGTTTCTCCGCAGAACCAAGTGACCAAGTGGACGTTGAGAAAGCAAGAATCAGAAGCACCCAAGAACTGAATTGTAACGGCAAGGTTGGTGAGAATTCAAACAATCACTTTTGCATACGGCCCATTGGGAATTGGCTCCAACTTCAATCCGATTGTGCATTAGGATCCATCCTTGGAAGGTCCGACACAACAAATGAGCTTTTCAAGAGTTGGTGCCTGGGGCTGATCCTTCACAGCTTCTGATGACCAATGGAACCAGAAGTGACCAGTTTTTTTTTAAATATCTTTTTTCGGAACTTCAACATACTTCAACTATATTTTTTGGGGGGTCAATGATTTTGAGCCATTGCCAAATAGGAATAGGTGGAAATCCAGGCCACAACAGGTTGGTCAGTTTTAGTTGATTGATGATTCATGATCAAATTCCAATCATATCATCATTGAATCGCTGGGATTGGCTGGTGGCTGGTGCTCCATCCATTTTGATACAGCCTTTTCTCCAACAGCCATCCATTTTGGAGTCCCATCGCCAAGGATGGGAGCACCTTTCAGGGCCATTTCCAGGTGCGCAATGGAAATCAATGGAACATGTTGGACAAAATGGTGATCTGTTGGTTGGGAAAATGGCTCGGAAAATGGTTGGAAAATGTTAGACTGTTAGACTGTTAGACACATATTTTTTTGTTGACCATGGTAGATACCATGGTTCAGGTTTACAGAGCAGCAAAGAGGGCTGAATTTGCATCGCCATTTTGAGAAGCGATGATTGCACATGATTGCTGCATTTAGTACATGCACCCATCAAGTTGCTAATTCGGTGGCCGGGTCGATCCCGCTTTTGATTGTTTTTTTTGAGGCGATTCCTAGGCGTCCAGTATAGTTGAAGCCATGCCTGGATGCAATTCATCGTGGTTTCTCCTTCTCAAATATAGAGTTTTTGGCGTCATTTGGGGGCATCCCCGATTTTAAGAAATTCAAATGGCATGATCAAGTTGTTTGTAGGGACCAGGAATGGCTTAGTCGCTCCATCAATCAGGTTCCACATCCCCACGCAAAAACATCAAAAACATGTACTTGATAGCATTGTTCCATATTACAATGCTAACATATATCATCATATATCCTAAGTTTTAGATTTTAGACCTGTTTTAGGATCCAACATTGATAAGCCATAGATCTACTGATGGCCTGATGCTGCTGGCCTCGCAGTCAGGAGGGTCATGGCCATGGAAGGGAGGCCAGTTGCAAAGGGCACTGGGTTTGCCTTGGGGCATGTGGTCTTATGTTTGTGTGGATGTATGCATCGTATAGAATAGATGTTGGTGTATAACTTGTACAGATTGGAACATGACATTATATAACATTATATACGTTTTGTATATATATATTTTATAATTAATATATTATACATGTAGGATCATATCGTAAGACAGCTGTTGAACCGATCTTCTTGAGGATCCCAGCTATGTTGTTTGTGTCTCCAAAGATTTGTATCCTACTCGTGCCCTTGACAGGTCGTTGATGCAGAGGTGCACCTCGCATGGAGGGGCTTGCAGTAGCATTGCAGTTATTTTTTAACCAACCAAGGATGGGAAATAACATGAAATAACAGGAAATAACTCAACCTGTGGGGGGGGATTTTTTTTAAAGGTATTTGCAAGACTACCTGATTGGGGGCTTGAAACATGTTATCCCTGTTTGAGATGAAGCGTGCCAGATCTGATGATCTTCACATCAAACACTGCAGGGATGACCACCCAAACCTGACAGATCATGGCAGGATATACCGTGATATGCTTTAACCAAGATTATTGTTGCTGTTCCTATTGCTCTGTGGAGGAATACCCCTTGAAGTATGTTGAAATATCATTCCCATCTTGTGGGCGCATCTCCTTGGCATGGAAGTTTGGCACAGCATGGCAGGTGTCCGCACTACACGAGCGCTTGAAAGAGGTGACGGAGGACACCCTTGGCGTTGGGTTTTCTGCAGGTGAGGTGTGTTGAACTCAATGTTGAATGTGTGTTTCTTACATCCCCGATTTTAACTTGTAAAATTCAATAGTCAGCCGCATAAGGATGCATAAGATAGAATGGTTTTATCAAGCACCACTAATTGCAGAAACATGAGCCAAAGTTATCCAAAGTTGGCATCCTTCACATGCACATTGAACAAGGTTACATACAATGTTACTCCAAGTCCACTGATTATTCGCCATATTTCCCATCAACAGTGGCTATTTGGGAGGCAATATTCCCTTGTGTATTCCCAGATCAGTTCTATAAGAATTGCACATTTCATCACATTTCCATATACATTATTCCCTTAAACTGATAACAAGTTCCCGTATATTATATTCGCCATAAAAATTGTAGTTTCTCCCATATACCAGTTGCCCCCCGTATACCATAATATACGCCAATATCCCCATTCTTCAGATAGACCAATCTTGGTCATCAAATGGACTGCATGCTGTTCAGGAGCTGAACGCTGCCCGGCAGGATGCCATGCTGGCGCAACGTGAAGCCACAGCCCCCTGGCTGAAGACCCGTTAGTTTCGGGCGGTAGATGTTGGCCAGCCGGAAATGTGGGCATTATTGATCACTTTTGGGCAGCAACGACACCAGATGTGGGGCGCAACGGGTCCACCCAGATGTGGTTAGCAAAGCCTTGAACAAGGAAGCACAGCCTTAGGGCCTAGATCCAGATCCGGCAATCATGTTGAGTGAGCCTTGTCTTTGGACCTCGGGATGGTTCAAACCCTGGAAGTGACTTCGGGGTGTTCCAGAGCCGAGGTGCCTTCATTATCACTGCATAAATACAGTATAGGTATTGGTCAAAATTGGGGGCCGACAACTCGGACATATTTGACCATTTCATCATCTATAGTTAATTAATGTTAATTAATGTTAATTAATGTTAATTATATTATCATCATTTGTTGATTTTAAGGGTTAGGAATTTCGACCTGTGGCCTCCGAGAAGGGTGACATATCTCCGTGCTGAGGCAGCCGAGGGACATACACCCAATGGTGCGGTCCTTACGTTCAAACAGTTCTTACTTGGTGGTTTTCCAGGGGTTTGGGGATCCTTGGAAATATCCTATACAATTCCCTGCATAGATTCGTGAACTGAGGATGTTTCTGCACGTTGCTTCATAGCTCATCAGGCCTTATCCTGTTGTCCCAGTGGATGGTGAAATAGTACCAGTTGAATGCTGTTTGGCAATCTGTAGCTGATGCGTTCCCCTGAGGTAGTGGTCCACCTGTGCAGGAGATGTTCATTGGCATTCATTGGCATTCATTGGCATTCATCATATTTGATCGGCCCACGTACACTGGGTGCGCCTTCCAACATGAAAACCCCCGCTAAGCTCATCTTCTATCATCTTCTTACATCTGAATTTCCAGCGTGCGCAAGAAGCCCTGCGATGTTTTGGGGGAGTGTGGGTCTAAGATAAAAAAGGCGGTTCCCTTGTGGTTACAAACAGAAAATCATTTGGTTCGCAGATTGGCTGGTCATTTCATCATCCAATTTGATACTGCATGCCCAACTTCTGCAGGTCGAGGAAATTGTACCCTCATTTTGCTATGTCGTGCCCATGCACATCAGGGATCATGCGGGGTGAATTCATAGAGATGGGTCAAACCATTGGCCTGCTGTTCACATATGAAGAGAACAACATATTATTTTATCATATTTTATCTTCGTCTCCTCTTTTCCGGAGGATGTACTCTGGCAAACCAGCATGACAACAGAAAGAACTCCCCTAGTTTGCAGATAACTTGCTACCAGGACGTGCTCACCGTCAGCCAGGCTCGTGACCCCCCGGAAAGGGGTGGCACGAGTTCAGTCATACGGCATACGTACAAAGGGATTAGTTGCTTACTTCTTGTTCTATTCAATAAGTTTCAATGTTTGGAGGTGCTGTGTGTGTTCAATCGAATCTTGATCCATACCCTTACTGTAGTGAGAATATGTGAAGGTTTGGTTATGTTTGGTTGTTGTTACAGCTACCCATTCCAGCCTTCACTCTATGCTCCCTGTGCATGATCAGCATCTCTCCATTGATCCAGTGGTGCTTACGGCAGAAATTTATCTCATGGAAGCCGGAAAAGTAATGAAAAGTATGAACATTACTGAACATGCACTTTCCAGTAGAGAAATCATCTTCCAAACCCGTTTTTGGGGTTCCCCCCACAGGCCCTACTGCTGAAAGTTCAACAGCAGTCAGGACCCTAAACCTGGTGACACCAGCATTGAATGGAGGATGATCGTATAGAACGTCCCACTATCATAGGTTGTTGGTTCAATTCCCATAGTTGTTGGATGTTGTCGGTTTGATATGAGTTTGTCCGAAATGAGGGATACCTCATTCTTACAATTTTTATGGCCATTTAAAAGGGCGACTGAAGATGATAACAATGGTAACCATCAAAATTTGGGATATGTCAGTTTTTTTGAGAACTGCTCCATAGCATCTCCATAGCACATGTTTGTTGGTCTCTGGTACCAAGGCAACGAGATCTGGAACGGGTGCGTGAAGCTGTTGACGGCCAACAGGTCCATGGTGAGTTGTGGTTCTCGGTTGGAGCAGAAATGCGCGGAAAGAGCGGGCCTCTAGGATATAATGGATATAGCAAAATTCGGCCAAGCTATATAACATTATAATGCATTATATAACTTCATAATACGGTATATACATAATTAATATATAATATAATATATATAGTTGTATGTACACATACGATCACATATAACTTGTGTTGGTTCGGTTAGATATGATTGATGAACTTTTGATGGGATAGTAGATACTAGAAAGGGCTTGCAACAACAAAAGAGATGGCTCCAACGGGTCAACCACCAGGATTTCGAAGTGTTTTCTCATTGACGCATCCACGACCATAGTCCTGGAGGCTGCGTAAGCAGACTGTTGTGACGGAAGACAATTCACAATGGATGCGTTTCCAAATGAAGGATGTTCAGAGCTGCCCACAGAGGTTGGACCCCAGCACCTGATAAAAGCGGAATTATCTTCAAGAAATGCAGCGATCTTATGGGATGATTTACCCTACTGTAATTGCACCTTAATTATCCTTAACTATCATAATTTTAGTTAAATGATTTATATTCTGCCATCAGTTGTAGCGTTTTCAAGCTGCTTCGCTTGCTGCAGTGCTCCCTGGGTAACTCACCGCCAGGCACAAGTCCAACGCCTCACGGAAAAGGCCTGGCGTGAGACTCGGAGGATGTTGGTTGGTGGTCCCCCATTAACCCGATGAAACAATTTGAATTATTAGTAATTATTGATTCTTTGATTGTTATTTCCTATACCATTGACTTTATGGCTAGGGCTAGGGATGCTCCCAAAGATGAACCCACCCAGCATGATGAGGAAGTCTGATCAAGAATCTCTACAATGAGTGAAGCAACCCGAACGCATCGACAGGCTGCCTCTGAACGGATGACCAAACCAGCGGCTGTTGCGTGCGCGGCTGAGAGATGAGTTGCCCGGGATTCTGCAGTGGGCATCCACACTTAAGCACAGGGAACAGAACAAAACTAAAAACCGGGTAAAACATCGGGTTTTAGGAGATGTTGGGAAAACAAACTTCTACGCTGGATACACTGGATACAGTCATGTTTGATGATGTTTGTCTTCAACACTCGAATCCACGGCCGGGACATCCCAGTCTGTAGCTAGAATTCTTGAAATTACAATTTGTTACGTCCAATATCATTCCATATCCCAAAAATCCCTGGTATCTTTGTGGTTTTTCAACGTTTTTCGCTCAGTCCCAACTCTTCCCATCAGGTTGCCAGGCCTGGAGGAACAACTGCGCAGTGCTGAAGGGAAGCTGGACGAGCTAGGCCGGTGACCTGCTTGGGAAACAGCCAGCCCCTTGGCCCCTTGGCCCCTTGGCCCCTTGGCCCACTTTTGGATCTTTTAGGCCATAATGAATCCATATCTAAAATAGATAAAATAATGATATAGCTGATGTGACATCAATCTAATATTGTAGAGTATTGTATAGAATGGATTCATAGATTCATAGATGACATGTCTGTATCAATGCTGATGATCTACAGACGTCAATGGTATTTGTTGTTGGCATGGCGTCTTCAGCGGTCCTCCATGGGGTGAGAATCCACCCAGCCTTGCCAGGCCGCCGGTTGCAATCCTCCCAGGGAACCTCTCGTTGCTCAGATGAAATGGTCAGCCATCAGTGGCGGAAATGGTGCAACATCTGCAAGATGATATCAAGATGATCTGGTTGAAAGTTTTGAAATGTATATAGAATGTATTTGAATATGTTTGAATCATTTTGAATCCTTAATTTTCCCCAATTCAATTGGATCCTTCACTTCGTGGGCATCATTGTCCAAATAGGCTGCCAAATCCAAAGTTTGGGAACCCAAAACAAATTGTGCCTGAGTATAATCGGCCAGTACGAGAGTCATCGCCTTTGGGGTAATATATCGTTATTATTTACGTCACGATCAATGCATTTTCAGCTCATGTTTTTGTTGGTGCTGTAGTGCTGCACTGTACTGGCGAAAAAGTCCAGTTTTGGTGAAACAGTACAGCACTACAGCACCAAAAAAACATTTGCCCCGAGGGCCCCCATGGCTGTCCCAGGCTTAACTTACGAGCTGCGCTGTCACATGGAGTCCGTCTTGGATCGAGTGAGGCCTGAGGGTCCAGAGGTCCAGAGGGTAGATCTGACGCTTAGCTGGTGAACCCTGTGGACACAATGTCACAATGGAGTGCAACCATATTTATCCATAGGGTATTAACATGGAGTAACACACTTGATTGGCTGATATTGGTTGTTGGTTTGGAGGCAAGTGGCAAAGAGAACCGGGAAATCGTCCAAAAGAAAAAGACAGAAGACATCTAAGGTGTTATATACTATATTTGAAGAGGATAATCTCACCCTCCTGCGATATCATGACCAAGAGACATCACAATCTGATTCCAGTGAACATTGCTCAAAATCTGAAACATACATCTGTCATATTGTACGCTTGTGACAGACAACGGAAACATAATGGAACAGAATAGATGTGTGATGATGTGTGAATAAATGGCCATATATGATGCCGTATGGATATCCTGTTGGGTCTACCATTGTGGGGTGCCTCATTCAAGATACTTGGGCCACAAATCCCTAAACCACAGAGACATTTCCCAGGCAGCGTGACAATGCCATCGAGCAGCTCCTTACAAGGCGTGGTAGTGACTCTCGTCGAGTATGTAGTAGCTGCTGTTAATTGGGACTTGACGCGACATATTTCTGACACCAAAACTGAAATGAGTCAACCAACCAAAGAGAACGTCATTCAGCAACTGTAAGAATTGCACAGGACGTAAAGTTGTTGAAATGATCTCGGTTTGTGTCACATTGAGATGATTTTGCGGTGAGGAATAGATTTTGACCAGTCAGTTGCACTCCCACCATCGAGAACATGTAGTGTACAGGAGCGATCTTGACAGATCATTAAAGGCACATATAATATCTAAATTTTCAAATATCTAAAAATAATGGTTGCGGATGGCGAATGGTTCCCATAGCAGCAACAAGCACGCACCTGGCGATGCCTCAATGGGGAGTCGGGAAGTTGGTCGCTGGGAACCTTAATTGTGGGACAACACGCGGCGCAGCGCACCAAAGTGGCTATTAGTATCCTATCGCATCCCTTAGAATTTCCCAAAAGATGGTTATATAATATTGGTTAATACATGTCTACATGTCAATCATTCCCCCATTCATCATTTGGTTGTCAATTATTCCACTAACAACCAGATCATCCATGTAAACGTAGATTTGCCTGTACTTACTGTACCACAAAATCGACCTACACCAGATTCACCAGATTATACATTGTAAAGGATATGACGCCAACCGCTGGCCATGGCTGTCCAGGCAAGAACGCATGGAGCACGTCAGCGTGATGCGGCGGGAACGCTTGGCGTTTGCACAGGACGGGCTTGATTCGCTTGATGTTTTTCTCATGGACATGACGACATGACTATCTATTCTTTGGACATCTTTGGACATGGGGATGAACATCCAGTTGTTTACTGGCTATTTTGGGGTTCAGGGTACCAGGGTTTTGAAAAATACCATTCTTCAACATGTAAATGTGCACCATCAGTTCTACATGTTTATATATAATTATATATATAGATATATCTCGGTGATATATCATGATATATCGTTTCATATCATTTTATATCAGATTTATGCTGGATGGGGGTGTAACTCACGGTCCCACTGAAGTGTGCAGATCAGGAGGATCTTTTGTCCCAGTGGATGCGGAAGGAACTCCCTGCTGAACCGCTTGATGAAGGTGGAAATCTCGGAGTATGGAAAATTATTGAGACCTAAATTTCCGTGCTACCTTTAGGCCTTTAGATGGCAATTTTGAGGCAACAATTTATGGTTGCAAATATAGACAATATAATATATATATAATACGTATAATGCTGATGTTGGCGCAACTTCTTGTTGCTGGTCAAATGCCGGTCTTTCACTGCCACTGTATTTACTGTGCCAACTCATTTGCCCAGCTGTGGATTTAGTATAGACATTTACAACTGAATCAGCATCCTCGTTGCATCATGTTGCATCCAATTCTGCTCATCCTGGAATAGATAGAATACAAGGTTGGACTGTCCCCAGTAGGACATCCTGCTGTAATATTGGAATTGGTGCATCCAATGGGTCATATTCAGCAATGGAAGATGAAATATAGTAGCAAGAAAGAAAATGCATAGACAGTGTATTGCCACCAATGATTCGGGATATTCATGTCCAACTCAGCTCCTCAAAGAGGCGAGTTTGTTTTTAAGGACGAAGCAATCGTAGACACCTTTTCCAAGCCACTGGGAGGATTGTTCATTGGCACAGCAACGAGGAATTCTGGTTGATCCTGGAAATCAGGTGATTTTCAACTTGGATCTGCTTGTCACCATTTGAGGTGGTCATTGCCTGCATATGTCATGTTCCAGGAATGCGGAATGTGAGAGGAAACAGGAGTCACAACAGGAACTGGGCATGGATCCTGAACATGTTGCAGGGAACCAGTAATCAAAGTGTTTTAGCCATGTTTGATCATTTTTGTATTTTTCTTGTTGGTAAGCCAATGCAAACCATAGCATTTTTGAGGTATCCAAGCTTTCATCATTGATCTATCCACTCCAGGTGGGGAGGTCTCTCCTTCGAGCGCCAGAAGCGTTCCATCGGCTGGGGAGTCTGTGGAAGAGTTAGATCAGTTGGATCTGTGGAAGGCGCTGGTGGATTCAGGGATGGAGTTGATAAAGGGAGAAAAAGAAAACAGCAAAAATTTTGGGACATGGCAATACTTGGATAGGTGGTTTCAAGTATTTGTCACGAGTAATCATTGGTTGTTCTTCTGTGATCTGCATAATTTCGGGATGGAGGTCAAGATTACAAACTAGAGGACCCCCATTATGACCAGTTGGAATGGACTGTGGAGGTACATTCACCAGTACTTGATAAGGAAGAGTGAGAGATGTGACCCAAGTTGTCTACGCTCATATCTCTGGGTTATGTCACGTACGACATATGGCAGCACAAAGTGACGGCATCCCCTTGTTGTCCATAAACCGAAGGATCAAGATTGTTGCGAATCACAGTGGATGGTTTGATACCAAGCATGATCTGATTTGTGGCCATGTCCACTGGGAAACGCTTGGGTCTCTCTCGCAACCTCTGACTGCAGGCAGTGGGCGTGCAGGTATCCAATGAAGATACTGCAGAGCTGGGTTGGGAGGCGCATGGCAACCAAACCTGATAGATACACAGGAGGAAATTTCGTTGTAACAAAGGGTAGCCATACACATCCATATGTATTTTTTGTGATATAGAGAGGTATATGTATTGCAGTATACACATTTATCGGTTACCTAAAGTCTCTAGACATGGATTTTGTAATCATGGATTGTTGAGGGATGATGGGGTGGGATGGGATATATTGCTATGGGTCAAAATTTAAGCCTTTGGGTTATTTAATTTTCAGGTTTGACATGTACCAATTGTCCCAATTTTGGCTACCCAATGACTGGACCCTTTCATACCCTTTCCCATATGGGTGCAGTTCATAAGTTGCAAGAGTTGGGATAAAAGTTGGAAGAAGAACCGGAACTACCTAGCTGGAAGATGCCGCAGCACATAGAATATTGGGTAAATTCCCACTTAAAGCTGCATAGTGGCATTGTCAGCTATGGCTTCTGGTGAGAGTAGCAGTCAGCTAATTCCAGCCCACAACTTGGACACCTTACACTGTCATACACTGTCATACACTGTATATCATCCATCATTAAATCCCATTGAATCACCATATAAACAATGTCAAATTCTTGAGCCCAACCTGATCCATATCAGGCTGCCGTTGCGGCCAGTCCAACTTCATCCTTGGTAGGCTCTGTGGAGTCATGGCTATGGCTATGTCAGTTGCGTGGTACAAAGTGTGTATATATATATACATATATATATATATGATGTAAATTATACATAATATATAATAATATTACTGTATATATTATATTATATTACTCCAGTTTGAATGGATTTTTGCGGCGAGACTACCAAAAATCCACATCAGCTGATTCAGTCGGTGGTCCAAACTTTAAAGACCATATCCTGCTCGAAGAGACTGCAGCACTACAATTGAACCACTGAAGCCACCCATTCCTGGCAGAAAACGCTACATTTGTGACAAGTTCTCAGTTTGACATGCTGTTTGACCCAGCTGTTTGCTGTAGTACTTCGCCAAAGCTGTTTCCACACTTTAATCCGGAGCCATTCGATCATGTCATTGACGCAACGCAGGTGACGCGTCCTTGGAAGACTTGGAGCAAGACCTTGAGGTTTCTCCGGTGATCCAGATGGGGATGGTCGTCCGACCATTAAAAAATGGGCTGCGTAATTAGTACGATATTTTCCACCATTAACTGATATAACTTGTCGATATAACCACTTACACACGAATCAAAAACTTCACCATACTGCAGCAATACGGTACAACGGCACTTGAAATGTGAAACAGTGGATTGAGAGCTCATGGAGATTCAACCATCTTCTAAAACGTAACGCACCAAATGATAGGGACTTATTGGCGAATGTTAACCACAAACAACGACTAAGGGTTTATAAATGTTTATAACAACCAGTGATTCCAAATATATACATGAAATGATGTAAAGCCAATGTAAAGCCCTGTTATTAATAGCGGTATGACCATCTCTTTTTAAGCGTGGTTGTAAGCCCAACATTAGCCAGCTACCATGACCCACGTTTCCTTTGCAACAAGACCCTATGTCTTGCCCAGAAATTTACAACAGTGTCCAAGACCGTAACCTTTCACGAGTGTCAGTGTGTTTCTATTTCTCAGACGACAAACCCTAAACTAAACCCTCAAAACCCTCAAGCTCAAAAGCTCTATACCATAAATCACCCTTAAACCTAAGCCGAAAACTGAAAACTCTGTGTATGCGCAGAGTTCTTGCAATCTCTCCAATCATAGTGGAAACAAGACCGCATCCTCAATGCTGGAGTCTGGGCAAACCATTGGTTCTGCGAGGTCTTTACATGGTCGGTATGTCTCAATAGATGAGGATGATTCAGCAGAGCTGAGCTTGATATACCCATACTACCATTTTGAGATTGGTTTTACATACCAAATTTGTTTGGAAACTCTGAAAACTTTAATCGTTTGTATGTTGATGGGTCAACCCCTACGAGTTTCCCATATGAACAGGGGCGAGCAACATTCGGCTACACCAGCAGTTGCACAACTATGTTGATGTGAAAACCAAGACTTTGACCCAGATCCAAATGAAGTAGATGGGAGGAACCATCCCCAAAATGGTTGATAGGCGTTTACGAGAATTTACATGGATTCACATGGTGTGATTGGAATGATGTTGCTTAAGCATCCAACGGAAAAGGAAGATTTGGGATCCCCGTGAAATAGGGGATGTTGCGCCTTCCAAATAGTATCTTTTGGGACGAAACACGAGTGTATCCAATGCATGTATTGTCCATCCAAACCTGTCTGCCTACCTGTCTGCCTCTCAAGATCAACCCCGAAGCCTGCCAAGTAAGCAGATGCTTGCAGTTTGGTAGATATCCATAGATATCCGAGAACTACTAACGAGTTGTTTTTTCTCATGATCCTTCATGACATATCCTGTCTACGAGTCATGAACGAGTTGAGTCTCCAATGATGTACTTCTCATTCTTTGCTTGGGTACTGTACTGTACCCATTGTTATATAATATTATTATTATTATTTGCGTTTATTCATTTACCCATTATTGTTGGCTATGGTCTGGGGGACTCCCAGGTCTTTCTACCGCACCTTTCGCCAGGCGCTGCGTCGAGAGCTGCAAAATGTGCAGTTGAAGAACCGCCAAAAGGCGCTGCCGGGGGAAGAGGTGGATGGGTCGTTGCACATCGGAGCCATTCGGAGCCTATTCCGCACATATTCTGCATGTTGATCAGGTCTGTGATCAGTGGTGTTGACGCGTTTTGACACAGACTGAACTCAAGATGATCGATGGCAATTGAGTCCCACATGCATGGCAAACGGCGCATTATCGGTTTTTGGCTTAGCTGGGTGCCAGAAGATGAGAAACCTCTAGGACCCAGAGCCTTATCTACGTATGATGAAAAGCATTGATGGATCAACATTGTATTTCGATGTATTTCGTCAGGAGCTATACATGATATACATGACAACCATCCAGACTTCCCATCTCCATGGCACGCACATCCCAAGAAACATGATCCATAGAGGTTTTCCTCCATCTCTCCCAAGTTCCAATCATGTTTGTATTGATGTAATTCAATTCAATACCATTCATGACCATTCATGTACTGTATATTCTTATCATACCTTGCAGTCTTACAGTCATTTCACTCCCATAATTATCATCATTTACTATCCATGACCTACCATTTTTTTTCGCAGGCGGAGGAGCTCCGCGCGCAAATCCGCGAGCATCAGCGGAAGCTGGACGAAGCTGAAGCCAAAGAGGTGGTCACAAACCAACATGTCCTCAGAAGTTACTTCCCCCTCACTGCTTGGGGCTCCTTTTCCAAATAATCTTTGAATGACATGATATATAATTATATAATTATATATATATAATTACATTAATTATGTACCATATCCATCCATATCCTTTATATTCCATAATGTAATGTATCTATTATCTTTCAACGATTCTGTTGGGCCAACGTCCCGGTGCCCACGTTGACCGCGGAGGCTTCAACGAATGGGTCTCCCAGTGCCGCCAGTGCCGCAGCCGCTTCAGTTGCCAGTGAGGCGGACCTCCACGTGTCCTTACTACATCTTAGCCTCAACAATCCCTAATATACTCTAAACCACCCTACTTAAACCCCAAGCCAACCCCAAAAAACTAAAGCAACCCTAGGTAAACCCTGCCCTAAACAAACCCTAATAAATCTGAAAACTTACCCCAAATAGATCCTAAACCAACCCTAAATAGATCTCAAGCCAAACCCAAACAAAACCCTGAACCAAGCCTAAATAAACCTTAAACAAACTTTAAATAGATCCTCAACAAACCCTAAATAGACCTATATAGACCTTAAACCAGCCCTAAGCAAACCCTAAACCAACCCAAAACTATACCTAAAATCAACCCGAAAAAACTCAACCAACCCGAAAACCAACCCCACGCCAACCCCTAAAGAAACCAACCCTAAACCAACCCTAAACCAACCCTAAATGAATAGGTGCAAATCGCATGAACAGTTCGAGCACCAAAATGTTGCAAATACCTCGGAAAATGAGAGGTTCGAACTCCAAAATGTTGCAGTTTCCAGCTCCAAAATGCTGCAAATAGCAAGGGAAACGGACAGGACAGGAGATCCAAAAAACAATCCCAAAGCGGGAAAAAACATAATTCCCACAACAATCCGGTCCCAAGTATACTGTAATACGATGCAATATGTTTCAGTTTGTTTTGGTGGAAGGGATGCAAAACTGCATCATCACTATGTTCCTTTTTTGTGACCTCCGCATCATGTCCAGGAATACGTACCGTTTTCATATTGGTCCCAGTCGATAACACTTTCCACCTTGCAGGCCTTCGACTCTATTCTCTATGTCAGGTTCTCAGCTTCAGATATCCACCAAATAGAAAACCAATGTTTATGAGGGGTCCACAAAATCAGTTTTAGGTGTCACCGAAAAGACCAAGTCCATTCCACACCTCCATCTAGGCGTAATGGTTGGCCCTTTCAGGAATTGTAGGAATTGCAGTAGCAACAAATTGTTTATGTCTGGAAGTCTGCCAGAGGTCAATCTTTGCAGCACCCATTGAAGCCATTGCTGGCAGCCAACAGGACCTGTTGTTTAGTTGCTCCATGGGGAGTTCATGGTGGATTCATGGAGAAACAGCCAGAGCCAAGGTGCAAAAGATTGAAGAGCTGGAACGTCAGAACGCGGGCTTGGAACAAGACCTGGAGTTGCTCAGATCCAGCGAGCCACTGGGCGCTGAAGTTCTTGCCGTTTGAATGCAGAACATGGACAATAATGCTAATGATAGTTCAGGGTACGCTATGATACACTATCCACTTATATCATAGATGCTTCTCACACTGATATAATATATATATATATATAATATATATTATATATATTGTTGCTGTGAACTGTTGGATTTGGTACCAATGTTGTTGTTCCTGCCGCAACACTGCAAACTGCAAGGTCAAAACATATTTGGGGATGCTGCTTGGATTTGTATTTTTGAAGTACCTTTGAATCATTTTCTCCCAGAATTGGTTCCGGGAAATCTATATCTGATGGTCAAAACCATCACTTCCTGTACATGTTCCCTTAAACCAATTATCCATGGATTTGAATCCATGGTTAATGGACGCAAAGACTTCATATCATTTTTGCACCGGCGAGTTCAGGGATTAAGAACCACTTGCAGATTGTCCAGATGTTCTTTTTTTATGATAACAGGTGCCCCAACATTTTTACAGAAATTGTGGGTTCAAACATTTTTGGACATAGTTCTTGCAGGGTCCTTGGGAACCCTGCAAAGGACGAAATTTTCAGCAGCCCTAGCAGAAAAGCAATTCATCCACCCTCCAGAAAAAATCAATTAAAACGGAAAATCTATTAAAATCTGCAACTGGTCCAAGGGTCCATTGCAAGGGTTCAAGGTGTCGGCTACGTTGCAACACGTTGCTCCAACATATTGCACCAACAACGGACCGAGGCAGTGCCTACAAGCAGACAGCAAAGAGAAGGAGGCACAAAGACACAGCTGCCATTGTGCATGAAGTTTGCGGTAATGAACCAACACGAGTCGGGATAGGATATAGTCCATAGAAATGATGGAACCATAGGGGTTTTATTGCCTGGTTTGTCGGGTGGATCCTGAACGTGGATGCATTGTCCTTAGAACGACAGGTCTGTTTGTGGTCCCTTGGTCTTCGGATTGGACCATACCCATATACCCATACCATCCCATACCAATTGTGTACTGGATTCCTGGATTCATGGCTTATTTCATGGCTTATTTGGTAGCCTTATTGTCTTGGTTGTATCAGTTCTATCCCCTTCAATCGTTTTCAATGTGTATCCCATCACCCAGCGGTTACTTCCTGGTGGAAGGGTGGTTCCATCAGGAGCTCATCTCCTTCCTCATGCGGACCATGAGATCCACAGAACGTGAAGAAGCGGAGGTGATGGATGGCTGGGTTGGTTGCGTATTCGCAGTTAGTTGGTTTGAAGATGTTTGAAGTACGATGTATACCCAAGACAAGTGACATCACTGGGTTGATAGCCTGCTGAGTTGGTCTCTTGTCTTGGCGCCTGGGGCGTTGAAGCGAACCCGGCCAGTACTACTTTCTCAACGGGGTTTCAGTCCCAACCAACAACTGGGGAATCCCCCCAATCAACTTGAAACTCCTTGAGCAGTTTTGTGGATGGTGAATGGAACATGTCGATGAGAAGGGGAAAAGCTGATTTATTTCTCCCATAGCCTCAATGTTTGGTATCTACCTATTGATTATGCATTAGAAATCATTAGAATATATTTATTAATTTTAAATATATTTAAAATATTTCCGAATATGTCAATATGTATTGTAAGTTTCGCCCCAAATAAGAGATGGTGATCCAGTGATCCCAGTTGACTATCAATTACATGTTGAACCGTATGTTTCATATGTTTGATGTTATACTGTGAAAATCTATGAAAATCTATGATATATGTATATATATATATAATTATAATATATAATTATAATATATATATAATATATAGATATATTCACTTATCATATCCAATAACGGACTAATAATAGCCGTTTTTTTAGTGGGTTGAAAGCCACCAAGCAGTCCAGGCCTCAAGGCCACGGCCAGGAGCGGAAAACTCTGGGGCACGCCCCAAATGCCCTAAATGGAAGGGGTTTTGAGGCTACCAAAAAGTACCAAAACCATAAAACCCAGGAGTCACAACTAAGTTACTGGCATCAATTTGTTCTAGGGGGTTGGGGAAAATGGACATGTACATGGCTTGCCTTCATTTGTGGCCTGGGTGCCATCCGCGTGCAGATGGCACACCTCGGGACGCTTTATGTCTTCTTGTTTCCCATTGGATGCCAAGAGAAACAGAAGGTCTTGGATTGACAAAATGTATGCTTTCAGACCCCATGATACAACGCCCCATCGCATCCATGGTGATTTCTGCGTTCAATAATATATATATATATATGTATATATATATATATGTCGGGAATATAAATGTGAATATGCCAACACCATGGATGATTTGGGACGTGGTTTAATACTCTGCCGAGGTTTGACGAAATTTCTTTTAACTCAGTCGCTGCGGAGGAGCTGGATCGAGACTGCTTGGTTTGTTGTCAGGTCGACGAGACAGGCCGGGCTGCCGGATTCCGTTTGGTCCTTCATGCGGGGATCGGGATGGCAGGGGTTTTACATGAGGCCTGAACTGGTTCAAATGTGGAAAGCCTCACAAAGGTGATAAGTTTGACATGTTTGACGATCGGAACCGAGCTTGATACCACCAAGCAATCCTTTCAATATTGCGATGAACTCCATCCCTTGCAAAGTCAGTGCCCATGGGATCCCATTGGTATATAAATTGTTCTTTCCGCATGTGCATGTCACTGTTTGAGGAGATCCAACAGCATACATACATTGACTGGCTAAGACTGACTGGCTAGTTGGATGTTGAAAGATGCCAACCACCATTGTTTTGCTGACAAGGTTTTGGATCCAATGGTGATTATGCCCAGCAAGACATCTTTTCCTCCCACAGTTGACCATGCAGAGGAGCCAAGCACTTCGAAATCTGGAGGAATTGGAAAAAGTGGCCGAAGAGGCCTTGTTGGTTGCGGCCTCAGGGCTGCTTTTGGTAAGACGCCAATGGGGATTCCACGACGTTTTAAAATGACTCAAGTGGCAAATAACGTTGATTGTTGTCCGATTGCCAAATTTGTGCACTGCAAATGGCCATAATTATGTAATTTTACATACTTGGCAGCCATTGCCGAGACCACTGTTGTGTCTTGGCAATATTTATATTCTAAGACTCCACAACTAATATTTCAGTTGGTTTGGTGGCCAAGTCCAAGGATCCTCTTTTCAATGGGATTGAAAGGGATGATCAAGATCGAACTGCAGCAGGATTCCCAACTACTGGCAGTTACTGGCCCCAAACCACTGGTGTAGGACCCATTTGGGTCACAGTCCTTCTCCAAGCCGAGGATAACATGCGGCTGCGCAAAGATCTCCGGACCTTGGCTGAAGAGTTCGGCAAGGCGGTGCCTTGGTCATGAAAAGACGGACCGTAAAAGGCTTCAGACATCTTCGGACATCCTATAGGACAAAAAAGTGACAGAAAAAGGCAGAACATGTCTGGTGTTTTGGGAATTCATGTTTAAAAGAAAAGGGTTGAAAAAAATCATCTGAACAGTGTCTTGAAGATATATGAAGATATAATGGTCCGGCGCTGGTCCGGTCTGATTCTATCCGGCCTCAGGTGGCGCTGAAGCCAAGCACCGAGAACAAAAAGTTGGGAAACGTTCGCAACGGGAAGTTTTTGGCCAGTGACAATGGCTACACCACAAAACAAAGAAATGAGATTGTGACTTTATATCAATAGAAACGTCATGAAGTTTTTGGTTGGTCGACTGTAAGCTGCGTTTCTCATTGTTGGCACAATTATGTTGTTCCTATCCCCCTATGGATGCATTTGGATGGTTTCCTGCTTGGAGATTAAATAGCGAGGATGGCCTGAATGTCCCCTAAAAAAATTGTAGAAGGGGGAAGCTAGGACAAGACAGGTTGTAGGTCAGGTGGGAGGCTGTTATGTTTTTGTTCAATCTTGTAATCTGAAATGTTTGACTGTTTCTTTTTGGTTATATTGCTATATATATATAAATGATTTAGGTTGTTGTAATAATGTTTGGTTTCAATGAGGATAGGTTTTGTTGAGGGTGTTTTGCCTGTTATGTTTTTTTATGTTCTTGTTCAATGTTTCTTCCTTCCCTTTGATGTTTTATGTGTTGTATGTTCTGTTTTTTTTTTGTCGCTAACTTTTCTGGGGCTTTCTGTTTGAATGTGGTTAGGATTTGTTGAGGTTGTTGTGATTTAACCATCTGGATATGAGGGAAATGTTGCGTTAAGGTAGTCTATGATTTCTTGGTGTTTTATTCGTTTCATTTCTTCATCAGTTTTCTTTTGTTGTTCTATTTGTTTTGGGTTAGGTTTGTTCAAGTGTTTTTTTTATGTCGTTGGGTTCTGAAAGGCGCAAAGTGAAGGATTTTGAGAGATTTAGAAACCTCGCCAATGGACAAGACCCCAATGAAGGAATGAGTGAAATTGATATGGTTATAAAGGAACTGGAAGAGGAGGAAAGGGAAAATAAAAACCAACCTGAACCCGAAAACTGAACGAGCCCCCAAAAACTACTTAAAGAAAAATTACCTATATAGTAAGAGGATGCTATTTACTTATAAAAACTGCGGATGTTGTAAGAAAGATATGACTAACCTAAAGGTTTTATTGAACAACATTTTTCCTGCTGGAATTTGTGATGAGATATGTAATTACAACCTTCACTGTTCAAAATGTAAAGACTTGAATGATAAGGAGCGCAGATACATAAATTTCAATTATCATTTTGACTATTTTAAAGATAAAGAACTGACAAGAGTTGAAAAGCAAATATATTTCTTTAAAACAAGGATGGAGAAATCACCTATCTATTTGTCTAATACTAATCGGACAAACACTCGGCAAATGAAAAGAGAAATTGATGTTTTAATGGGCACATTCAAACTCAAGCAAGAATTCAAACACAACAAACTGTTCTTAATGGCGATTAAGTCTTTTGTAAAAAGGGAGTGGAAAACTACCTATCACTTCCTTAAAAACTTTCACGACCTTACATATATGAAGTATTGTAAGAACAAACGGGAGTGGTGGTTTCCTCAAAATGATTGGACTTATACATTTAGAAATAGGGAGTTTCAGGTAAAAGACATTTTGGAAATCTTCTTGCGTGAATACCTTGAAGAACTGTTCAAGGGTTATGAGAAATACTGTAATCTAACAGAAATAGAAGAGCACCTACAAAAAGTAATAAACACTTAAAGAAAAATTAAAGGACCGGATAACCCCACAAGTCAACTTCTTCCAATAATGAGTTTCAAAGGTTGTAGCGGGGTCGGAGAAGGAAGGAAAGACAAAGGAGGTGGTGAAAGACTGTGTGTGAAAGTATGTGAAAAGATAGTATGCATGTACGTATGTATGTATATTAATATATATATATATGTACGTACGTACGTATGTATGTCTGTATGTACATACGTACGTATGTATTTATGTATTTATGTATGTATGTATGTATGTGTGAATGTATGTATGTGTATGTGTGTGACAAAGTTGCGCGTCTGGTGGTGTTTCTTCCACAAGATAGTGACTTGTCACTGAAGGCCAGAAAAGAAACAAGATATGCTTACCACGGAAATTCTCTGTGGGATCCAAGGGTGTGTGCTGAACACTAGGTCTCACGACGTGTCTCACTCGCCTTCTTCGAGTTCCACCAGGCTCTGATGTTTTTTTTCCCGACGTTGCTTCCCGAAAGATCTTTTATGGCAGAGCCCTCTATCAAAGCGATGGTGTGCTCTCCATACTTCCGCTGACCAAAGTAATGTTCTGCACTCTTTCGGGCGAGGCCGCAAATTTTGCGAACTCTTTCTGCATGCCCTGTGGCTGGTAATCATACCTGGTATATAGTCATGATCAACTGCTGGCGTCATGGACGTGAGATTGTGCCACACCGCGTGCCACGCGGAAATCAAACATGCCAAAATCAAACATGCCAAAATCAAACATGCCGAAGCACGCGGAAAGAAGAAACATGCCGGAAGGACCACATCTTTGCATGCAAATGACCAATTTCACTTCCCTGACTAGTTGTAGTTGTGGTTGAGTCGCATGCATGCTCGAGAAGTTGTCCGCAAAAACTTCACTGACGACTTGTGGAATTGTGGTTGTGTTGTTGGTAACACTATCCTCTGCAATGTCTGCTTCGGCTGCCTCTTTCCACGTTGGGCTAAGGTCACCAAATCAGAATGAATTACACTGCACCGATCGTTTCTTTCCACGTTGGGCTCAAACGACCAGAGCAACAAGAGATGATCCTATGACCGCATCTTTACCTTGACTGACTAGTTGTAGTTGTGTTGTAGTGGTATGCGTGCTAGAACTGTTGTCAGCAACTTCTAGTTGGGCCAAAGCGACCAAAACAGAACGACAAGAACGACACGATGAAAGTCTGCATGCAAGAAACAGAATCTGTCATGTCTGCGCTGCACAGCGTGGCTGAAACGCAGTTGAGCCCTGCCTCTCGACCACGAGCAAGACCAGCACCTGGCCGCAAGTGTGTGTGTGTGTGTGGAATGGAGCAGGCCGACCTTTGACAGTACTTAAACATGCCAAAATCAAACATGCCGACGCACGCGGAAAGAAGAAACATGCCGGAAGGACCGCAGCTTTGCATGCAAATGACCAAACTTAAAGCCACGCAGAAGTGGCGCGGCGTCACGGGCGTCACGGCGGCGCCTAAACCAGTCCAAGCGCGCCACCCAGTGCCATCTGTCCCACGCCTCCCACGCAAAACGACCGTGGATGTGCAATTGTGCCACACCTGCCACGTGAGTCCAGGTGTATGTCACCAAGTGCCGCGCCTGGCCACGCATGTGACTTTGTGCCACGCCTGCCACACAGAACGAAAGTGAATGTCACCAAGTGCCACGCCTGCCACGCAGAAGTGGCGCGGCGTCACGGGCGTCACGGCGGCGCCTAAACCAGTCCAAGCGCGCCACCCAGTGCCATCTTTCCCACGCCTGCCACGCAAAACGACGGTAGATGTGAGGTTGTGCCACGCCTGCCACGTGAAATCAAGGTGGATGTCACCAAGTGCCACGGCTGCCACGCAGAAGTGGCGCGGCGTCACGGGCGTCACGGCGGCGCCTAAACCAGTCCAAGCGCGCCACCCAGTGCCATCTGTCCCACACCGGCCACGCAAAACGACGGTAGATGTGAGGTTGTGCCACACCTGCCACATGAAATCAAGGTGGATGTCACCAAGTGCCACGCCTGCCACGCAGAAGTGGCGCGGCGTCACGGGCGTCACGGCGGCGCCTAAACCAGTCCAAGCGCGCCACCCAATGCCATCTGTCCCACACCGGCCACGCAAAACGACGGTAGATGTGAGGTTGTGCCACACCTGCCACGTGAAATCAAGGTGGATGTCACCAAGTGCCACGCCTGCCACGCAGAAGTGGCGCGGCGTCACGGGCGTCACGGCGGCGCCTAAACCAGTCCAAGGCGCCACCCAGTGCCATCTGTCCCACGCCTGCCACGCAAAACGACGGTAGATGTGAGGTTGTGCCACGCCTGCCACGTGAAATCAAGGTGGATGTCACCAAGTGCCACGCCTGCCACGCAGAAGTAACGCGGCGTCACGGGCGTCACGGCGGCGCCTAAACCCGGCCCAAGGGCGCCACCCAGTGCCATCTGTCCCACGCCTGCCACGCAAAACGACGGTAGATGTGAGGTTGTGCCACGCCTGCCACGTGAAATCAAGGTGGATGTCACCAAGTGCCACGCCTGCCACGCAGAAGTGGCGCGGCGTCACGGCGGCACCAGTCCAAGCGCGCCACCCAGTGCCATCTGTCCCAGGCCGGCCACGCAAAACGACGGTAGATGTGAGGTTGTGCCACGCCTGCCAGGCGTGAAATCAAGGTGGATGTCACCAAGTGCCACGCCTGCCACGCAGAAGTGGCGCGTCGTCACGGGCGTCACGGCGGCGCCTAAACCAGTCCAAGCGCGCCACCCAGTGCCATCTGTCCCACGCCTGCCACGCAAAACGACGGTAGATGTGAGGTTGTGCCACGCCTGCCACGTGAAATCAAGGTGGATGTGTGTGTGTGTGTGTTGTGTGTGTGTATGTGTCTGTGTGTTGGTGTGTGTGTGTGTGTTGTTGTGTTGTTGTGTGTGTGTATATGTGTCTGTGTGTTGTTGAACTGCCACGCAAAACGACGGTGGATGTGAGTTAGTGTGTTGTTTGTGTGTGTGTGAGTGTGTGTGTGTTGTTTGTGTGTGTGTGAGTGTGTTGTTTGTGTGTGTGTATGTTAAGTTTGTGTTTTGTGTGTGTGAGTGTGTTGTTTGTGTGTGTATACGTTAAGTTTGTGTGTGTTAAGTTTGTGTATGTGAAGTTATTGTATGTTACGTTTGTGTATGTGAAGTTATTGTATGTTAAGTTTGTGTGTGTGAAGTTATTGTATGTTACGTTTGTGTATGTGAAGTTATTGTATGTTAAGTTTGTGTGTGTGAAGTAAGGAGGCGGGAGGAGGAGGAGGAGAAGGAGCCCGGGATACAGAATCAAAAACAAGAACCCCACACAAAGATGTGGGGAAATACCTAAATATATTAAGAGTAAAAATGAGTAGAGCAAAAATTGAGGTTATAGATACAGGGAATATTGGTATATATGCTGACTTTGGTAGTGAAAGTGAAGATGAACACGAATATGATAGACAAACAATAGAAAAAGAAGATGAAGAGATTAGAGACTTTGTAAAGTTTAAAGTGTCATCCTATGCCTTCACCAGATGATGAGGATGGAGAAATATTTTGGAAGAAAGTAATTGATAGGTTGAAAAACGACCAAGGATAAATGCTATGATAATATATTCGTTTGTAAATTTTGACATTATCAAAAAGAGGTATGAAAACCTGACGGATAAAAAGGTCATCGTTGATTGTGGTAAGGAACTTAACCGTGATGGTAAATGGGATGCTATGGCAATAAATCAAACTCTATTAGCATTAGCAATGGATAAACTGAATGATACAGACAAACCTATCACAAATCAAGTCAGGATAATTGAACATTGGTGGGATGGAATAGGAAAGTGGAAAGCATAAATGAACAAGACACCAAAATTACTTAAAAAAAAATACCTATATATATAGTAAGTGAAAAATGCCGATGATTGGAGTTAGTGAAGAGGAACTGAAAAGAGATAGAGAAAGATTAACGATTTTCATAAAAAAAAATCCTTATCCTGATTATAAATTTATAGAATATGACCTAATACTTAAGCAAGAACAATCTTTAGAGCAATACGCAGAGTATGGAGAGATAAACCACGACCTTATGAAAGAAATTTATGAAAACATATTTGATAAAAATTTAATCAAACAACACGGTGAGAGGATACACCAAAGAGGAGGAATGACAGCATTACAACAAAACTATTATACACTATTAACAGTATTGAAACATTTAATTCAACAACGAAGACTTGATAGAGACACAATCATTTTAGTGTTCTACAACATCAAAACGATTGTTTCTCAATGTTGGGATGGAATAGGTAGTGGTGATGAAAAGTGGAGACATTAAACCTGATGATTAATTCATAATATCTTAATAAAATATATTATGAAGTAATCACCCACCCAAACACAAACATAAAACACAACAACCTAAACAAATCCTACCCCCATTCAATCCAAACAATCAGAGTGAAAGTTCGGGGCAAAATAGTCCCAAACCCCCCACCAGAAAAAACATCAAAGGTAAGGAAAAAACATTGAACATAAACCTAAAATCATAACAAACAAAACACCCTCAACAAAACCTACCCTCATTGAAACCAAACATTATTACAACAACCTCAACAAAACATTTAACAAGATAATCAAAAAGAAACAGTCAAACATTTCAGATTACAAGATTGAACAAAAACATTGCAGCCTCCCACCTAACCTCCAACCTGTCCTGTCCTAGTTTCCCCATTTCCCCATTTTTTTCCCCTCCATTTTTAGTTGTAGCGGGTTCCTTTCTTTCGTGGGGTTTCAATGCTGGCCAGCTTTCAGAAGTCCAGGCTGCCCTCAGGATCATTTGATTGATGATCATGTTTCGGAATAGATCATTGTTCAACTGTTCAACTCTATGGCCTCTTGTCTTCTTTAAGCCATCATCATTCCTTCCACTTCCTTGGCTGATAACTTTTCGGCTCTAGCGGCGCTTCACCTGCCTCTGGCCATTTTCTCGGCCACTGGCAGCTTCGCAGCGCAGCAGCGGGAAAGTTAGATACCCGTGGCAACTGCAGCGAGCGGTCGCCATGGGCAAATGGAACAACGACTACAACTATCACAACGATAGTTGGTCGGTGAATAAGAACCAGAATCAATGGAAAAAATCCAGTAACTACCATCGGCAGTCCTCCTGGCACAATAGTGACTCGTCAAGTCTGGAATGTTTGGGGCTCCGAATTTGATTGTTCTATTTAGTTTCGTGGAAAGAAAGCGTGGTCAAGAATTCAAAGGGCACCGCCGAAAATATTGTCCTTTGGTCATTTTGCATTGATTCTTTCTCAAACATCAAACAGCCCCGACAATATTCTTCCGAAACCTTAAACAAATAGGTCATAATAGGTCTGTATAAAGCATTGGAAAGCATTCAAACACATAGATCTCGATCTCCCCTTCGGAGTCTGCAAGGATGAACCTCAAGTTGGGACGTGCTTCCCCACGATACTGTGACATACTGTGACTGGTTGCAAGTATTAAACTAAAAATCAATCCAATGCCATCCACAAATCGCGGGCCTCGTTCCAATCTCATCCCATTCACCACCATAGTTTTTGGTTGTTTCTGGTTCCGGGTCCTTTCTACCAGTTCTTTCCAACCACCATCCAACCACCATCCAATCACCATCCATTCTCCGTCCATCGCGTCGCGTCAAGGTGACAGGGGAGACCGAAATCGAAGCTACTGGCGTGGCGACAACGACAATGACTCGGTCTCCAAATGGTTGACCTACGTCCTTCGTCATGGCGCATCTGAGGTGGACCGGGGGGATGCCTTGCAGGATTTAGTTGGAGAGTCGTCAAGAAGACAACGTCCAACGCGAGCCAGAGCAACCCCACATACCATTAAAGTGCTGTACATTGTCGTGTCAAAGTATTTTCAGGTATTGTCATTCAAAAGGTCGGTAGAACATTCCAACATCCTCCGTTTGGTTTCGAGATGCTCACCAGTTTCACCACCCTGGATTGTTTGCACAATGCAATGTTCACTAAGTACAAGGATCTTGACCCGCCCTTCTCGGTGTGGACGCGGGCAGGAAGATGTCTACATGGACAAGCACGGCTACGTCTCTGTGGACCAGTTGATTGCCTTGAGAGAAAAAGAGTTTGGCAAGACCACGAGCCTTGCCAGAAGGCAGTTCCAGTACTATAGATGGATCTAGATGGATGTTGAAAGAGAATTGATTTACCTAGCTAATTATCATGATTATAATGGGCAATGATCTCGCATGGTATATAAGTGTTTCTCCTGATTGATCAGACCCCAAATCACTTCAAATTGGTTATAGTCGCATGTTATAGCAGGAACAAAATAGCAAGCAACTTTTTTGGGGGGAGGGACTGCCATTATTCCACACATCTAGATGATCTGGATAATGATATCCCCTACTACTGTACTTGTACGGATACAGTATAAGTTATATTAATGTTATATCATGTTATATCAATTTCTATTAGTTATTACTACAAATATTGCCAAAGGAAGAAACCTGCGGATTTGAGTTCATTTGTACAGGGAACCGGAAAGGGCCTGCAGAATGTGTGATCGGGTCCGGAGTTTCGGACACATCATTGCTGATCACTACCAAGCACTACGATGAAGGTCTCAACCGGCTTCTCAAGCCCTATTTGACAGCATCAACCTCAATGAACAATAATTAAGCCTCAATCTGAATGATAAGTAGATCTGCACCGAAAAACTCATGCCCTGAAATTTACCCAGCCGACAAATCTCAACGGTTTTTGAAATTGAGGGTTCATCCATGTTCATCCCAGCATGGAATGTGCAAGCGTGGGAGGAATCTCTATCAAATTCGTTTGGTGGTTGAGACCTGCCCGAAGCAACGCTTTGAAATCTGGGAGGCATGGCGAGCTGGGCTAATGGTGTACGTCCCTGAATTTCCACATGGAACCACTAAACGAAATCGGTGTAGAATGTAGAAGATGATTTCCCATTGGAAATTATTCATTTTTTTAAACATCTTTGAGTTGTGGAGGTACGAGGTTCCTTAGCTTCGGGGATCTCAATAGAAGCCTTGCGTGTTTGACACGTCTCTCTTTTTACCAATCACCGTCTTTGGGATGATCAGCCAAGTGGTGAACGAGTGGCGGTCTTGATGTAGGGAATGCTATTGTGATTGTATGTTCCTCAGGGGATTCTGCTAGGAAACTTGTCTTTCCCACTCGGAACTCCTAGACATCGACCAATTTTGAGAAGCTGGGAGGAAGTGCTTGGCTAATTATGTGATGCGCAAATATATCTGCAGACGACTGAATTGGCTAGATTCGGCCGTGGCTATTGCTAAAGAGCAATTTTCCCTGCCCACCAGATGAGCAAAACGTTTGTGTCAGGATCCAAAATATTGCCAAACGGCAACATATTGTGACTGGATTTGTCAGGAACTTTGACACCAAATTGCATTCGCTGGGAGGTCCCCGTGTTCTTTTTGTTGATCCCCACCAGCTTCACACGGCCTCGGGCCTTTGCGGCCTTTGGGGAACCGTGCTCACATGCCAGGACGAACAAAATGAGGGCAAAACATGGGTTCGTGCCACTCAGGACCGGAGTGGGTGCAGCATGCAGCATTCATCATCCTTGCGGCCATGTCCTAGCGCTAGGAATGCGGGGGGCTATCAGTAAGATTTGCAGTTTTGTCATGGTCAACAAAAGCTGAAACTCTTGTCTCCTCCTTGCATTGAAGCCGCACAAAATATTGTCAACATTTCATCAACACCACACAAGATCCAATAAACATACAACAAGACACTTGTTCAAAGATGCTATGGAAATCCCATTCAAACTTGGGTCTCAAATCTGATGTGGGGGCTCCAACCCGGCCAACTGAACTGACTCCGGGCCAGGGCCACTCCATCTCAAAGGTGCAGGATACAGTGCATCGCCCGCTGCGCAGTGCAGACGATCTCGGAAACGAAGAACCGGTGCCTCCGCTTCGCAGTCAGAGAACTTGCAGGGCTTGAAACTCCTTGATGATCCGTGATGGTTTGTTGATGCTGGTTCCTCCCAAAACTGGGCTGGGCAGCAATCCAATTCATTGGGCAGAAGCCTGTGAACCCGGAATGGGTCAGAAACCTAAGTGCACAAGAACGTCAAATTAAAGGTACCAGAAAAGAAGACCCCCCATAAATATGCTTGAATGGTATCAAACTGGAGTGGCAAAGGTTGGCCATTGCCTTCCACTGAAGGTTGAACACGCTAAAGCATCTAAAGCCAAAATCTTTCAGATGACTGGATACACAACAGGAATATAGGAATGGTTTGTAAATCTCTTAGCTGATGATCATCCAATATCTCCTGCTAAGCCTTGCTCCCCCACCTGCCTCAGGTGCATGGTACCTTCCTCCATGCATGGCTGAAAATCCGCCATGAAGGGTTGAAGACCATGGGACGGAATCACATCCATATGTGTACCTCGCCCGAATCTTGATCTGTGATGCGTTCACCAAATGAAGACAAGCGCGTAGCAAACAAACTATTGGCAGATGAGGATGCCTCGAGTCAGAAGGAACCCAACAAGTCGGCAACAATTGGCTCATTTCACATCGTTTAACTGTAATAGAGATTGCGCTGTATACCGAACAAGATGGTTCTTATACAACCACGGACCGTCCCTGGGCCAGATCTGGACTTGTGAAGATGATGTGCGAATATGTGACTACCAGATAATCATGCAGAATCATTGCACTTGAGAAGGAATTGTTAAGTTTGCTGTCACTCTTGAGCTGTTAGTTTTAAGCTTGGTACATTTTTTTCAACATCAAAAGTATCTCACAATCTTCCGATTTATGTTAACAGTCGTAGGAGTTTGGTTCTGAAAATGGTAACAAGTACACTTGAAGCATTGCCATAGGCACAGGTCATGTCCTTGCTAGATAGGATTGTACTTGACCGAACAAAACGATGACGGATGACGCTAAAAGTGCTGCAATAGCATGGTGTAGCTGTTTCCTAGGGTCTTTATGGACGGGGGTTGGGGAGTTGACATGGAGGGGGCCTTGACATCAATTCCGGGGAGCTGCAAATCGATTAAAGCGGAGATCAAACACCGCATGATCCTCTGCAAAAAACAAGGTATGGGCCTTCCGGGCACCGGTGTCATCAGCGGAATGCGCGAGGTCTGTGGGCATTTTTTTGCTGAAAATGACGTGGCCACTATGATTTGTGGTTTTGGTCCAAAGGAACAAACAGATCCAACACTAAACACGAGTTTTTTGATGTTTTTTGCAGGATGTTTCTCCCCGGGGCGAGGATTAGCGGTTGAGCTCTTGACTCAAAAAATGGCAAATGCATAGACTGTAGATTGAGACACATGGGGATTCCCCCTTAGAATGTGTTTGCAGGATGTGTCTCAAAACCCGCCCAACACCCCCAAATGACCCCAATTTGGTCCCCCCCCTCCTTCCTTTGCGAAGATAGATAATTAATTAGACAGTGCATTTGTAATTCTGGAATTATAGTAATTGATTTGAACATATTTGAACAATTGGGCAATGGCAAAGCCCATGAATTTGAACTGAGGCGGTATCATTTGTCAATCATTTGTTTTTTCATATGCAGAAGTCTCAGTCAAATATGGCTCATGTTGCACCACACACTTGGCCGCGTTGCCACAGGATGCAGATGTGGCGATCTACATCAACGTAGCATTGGCCATGCAGTCTGGCATTTGCTTCGTGCAATCGAGCAATGGAGTGATCCTTACAGTAGGCCATGGGCAGGATGTGACACTGACCAGAAATGACCTTCAATGATCGGCTGATCATGCTCTTCGACAAATGCTTGATCATATATAATGCTTTGACCATACACGGTGCATCATAGATGAGATAACATCTGCAGTTCGTGCTCTGGTTTGCCCCATGGATCTCAGCTGGGTTGGATGGAGTTCTGAGAGCAGAATTATATACAGGGCAGTTGGAGCACTTGTGACTGATATTTGGTTTGAGACGTGGTGAGGAAATCAGCAACATGTGTAAGTATTTGTAGCCGTACTTGTACAACCTGTACAATTGCCACCTCCCACATTGTCATGTCTCATTTCTTGATTTGTCAGTACGTTGCCAGATTGTGCTTTGCTTAGCCTTTGAAAGATGGCATCCCATCTTGAAAGCCATGATGAAATTCCGCTCTTGTGACTGAGCTTGACATGCCCTTGATTGCCCTTGGAATACAATCAAATGTTGGAATCATCAAACCTCAAATGTCAAACGGGTAGGCCTAAAGATGTTAAAAGAAACTAAACCAGTTCTCTTATGGAAGCCAATTCCGACATGGATGGATTTCGGTTGGTATGTTTGGTGATCCCCAAGTCGTTGCAATGCCGTTGCAAAAGCTTGTCAGGCGAAGGTGATACTCAGACATTGTCAACAAATTTCTTTTCGAAAGTTTATTGGATGGGGCGAGGTTCCCATTCCGACACTTGGCGAGCGAAGGGATGTGAAGAGTCAACTTGTGTGGCAGAATCCTTGTAACTTGTAAGCAAAAATGGTTTCCAGGATAGCAACCTGGTTCAAAATGGATACTCCTGCCAACATGCGGATCAGACACGGTTGTATTTTGCATATTTTATCAACTTCATGAAGCCACCTGAAATCCAAGCAACACTCCTGGAAAGCATCAACAGTATTCAAAAGTCCGTTGGACCTTCAATGTTCCGATTCCAGGAGCGCTTAAGGAATCGTTGATGTCATCCCCTCGATTGGTTGAGAGTGGAATTCCCTGTGAGTTAATCGTCTGCAACCTGAATCCTGGTTGAGTAGATGCATGTCATTAACCGAACAAACATACAGAAGCCATCAACAACATCTGAATGATTCTGAATGTGTGCAATTCGACTTCCCATAATATGCAACTACATGATATTTCCCATCATTTCTCCCAACAAACATCAACATATCTGGGTATATCACCCCAGCAGCACACCCACCTGGACCCCTTGGTCCAGGTCCTGCCCCACCTTGACCAAAGGAGAAGATGTTGATTTGGGACAAACAGCAGGGCGACCTCCTGGAGGAGCTGCGCAAAACTTGCGAGGCTGGGGGCATCTGGGGAGGGGACGGGAGAACAACCCACCAGGGTGGGGATAGGGGGTCGGCTTTGGATCAAGCAACAAGAAGATGGTTTAAGACAGTTTAAGAAGTTTAAGGATTGCTGAAAGATAGTCTAAACTTAAACATGTCTAATCACAGTGTGTTTGACAAATGTTGAAAGAGCGTTTCATCATGGTTTGAAAGGATACATGCATATACATGCATTATATACGAGCACTGGATCCTGTGGGTCCTGTGTCGATACAGATATATATATATATAATATATATATGTATGTGTATATAGCTGTATATATATGTATAATTATATATATATATTATATTTAATATAATATAGTTATATATATATGTCATAGTTTTGGGGTGCCTAATTTCCACCGACCCCTTTCTCAGTTCCTTCCAGGCAGATTCACCCTTTGGCCAGGACCTGGCTGACGCGGTGGACAGGGCAGAATGGATGGAACAATCAAAGAATAAGAAACCAGCAGCCAAGAAGATGCCAAAGCCCAAAGCAATGCCTGAATCGCTGAGGCCTGGTGGGGATCATCCATGGAATCCATGATCATCCACCCAAAAAAACGTTTGGGGGATAGGTATCTGTGCAAAGGTCGCGTTTTGCCCACAACGTGTTTAGGTTTCAATGACTTTGCGGCTTGAGATTCAGGGTATTAGAGTTTAATTATAGGATTTATAGGTGTGTATAAGGTATAGCATTTTGCCATGTGTTCCGTGTGTATTCACATGTTTTGGGGGTTGGGGTTTCTGGGGCGCGTTGGGTTTCAAGTTCCAGGGTTTTCAGGTCTCGGATAACTTGTGCAAGACGCACAGGATCCCTCCTCGAGCTTTTCAGCAATGACCCACTGCATACCCGAGTAGTGATGGTAGGTCCCCAAACTTGGGATGTCCCAATATGTCCCACTTGCAAAGAACACGCATTATTCAAATTGTTAATTTGCTTCAACCAAGTTGGCATGTAGACACGCCCGAATTGCCCGCGATATTCAAATTATTCATGATTATTATTCACGATGTTCCCAAAGTGTCCTTGGTAATATGTTCCTCCACATTCCTCCCAAATTCCCAAGTTCTTACCCTGCCGTGAATTGGATGCCGCAATACTGCGGTATAACAGTAGTACTCAGTAGTATACTGACTATACCTCCCAACAAAAAAAACCCTTTGTTCCTCCCAAATCGATTTGTCTCATATAGGCTACCCCCAAAATTTCATGGTGAATTAATTAAACGTAACTTTAATTTTTCCACTTAAAGCAATCATTTCTATATTGGTATCCCGGTATCCACCCATTTTCAGACCCAAAATCTCCCCAGTTTCGCCAGGTGCGGTGCGATGAGACCCCCAGAGCCCGAGCGGCCACCCAGCTTTAGCTTGGCACCGACCTTGTGCAAAGCCAGCGCTCCACCACCAGTAGCGTGGCAACAGCTGGGGGATTTGCCGCGGGCCAGATAAGTTTGGAAGATCTGGAAAATACCTTTAATGAAAATTCACCATTTAAACTTAAACATATTTAAGATCATGTTTCATGGATTGGTTGAGTTGCTGGAGAGGAGGAGGATCTATGGTTGAAATCTATGGTAGTTGGGGTACTTGTAGTTTCATGTCAAAAAGTTTCTGACGGTGTTTGATGTTCACCCCGGCAAACGGGATGATGATCACTGAATATCACTGATGACTCAGGTTCCTTCAGGGGGATCCATCAACCAGTAAGGGCAACTCTAATGTGAAGCGTACAGCAGTTTTGGACGCCCCAAATCGAACAAGTCACGATGTCAGTGCAGCACTGCTATCATACTATCCCTCGGGCCCCGGACTGGATGGATATTTCCCTTTGATTTTGAACTGCCAAATCCATCCGAATCCCAAAAGGAGTAGCCGAGGAAAAGTAATGTAACGCTAGGACCCAGTGTCAGGATTTCTGCGTTTAGGAGTGCCACAAATGGGAAGGACCAGCAGCCAGACATATTCAAAGCATGTCGACACTATACTCCGTCTCTTCGATAGAATCGTTCAAATAAACAATAATATTTTTTTCAACTTCAATAGTTCTGTAAGGGTATCCGGATGTGATTGGATACTACTACTGTATAGTATCTACTAGCGCATCTTTTCTGTTCCATGAGTTCATCAAATCGTTTTGCAAATGAAGGCAGAAGGGGAACATGACATGGTTTCTTGCCCGCAATGACCAACCATCACAATCAGTTAATATCATTTAATATCAGATACTATAGTTTCATGATGTTTCATGTCAGCATGTTCCAGCATGTTCCAGTTTTCATCTCTTGGAAACTTCAGGTGCACCTTCCCCCCCCCACAAGGCCAAAGGCCCCCTTTCAAAACTGAGTTGCCACCGCCACCTCCGAAAAACGACCTGGAGAGAGCCCCTTGGCGAAGTGGCCACGTTGTGCCGCCCAGGAATAAGGACGCGGCATGACGCGGCTGAGAGGATTTGGGTTCATTGCATCTAAAGGGTAGATGGAGTTAGATACCAACTTACAACTGGGACCTGGAAGGTCCTTTCCGGCATTTTCGCGTCAAACATGATGATTTTCCGTTGTCTTATTGGGTTCCTGGATTCCTGGATGGGAATTGTATAGTACTCATGTTACTCATAATGATGATACCTCAAAGTAGAATACATCCACCATGGTTTGGTGCATGGCCGGGTTGAAGGCGTGAAATGTGGGACAATGCTGGGTGCTCGCAGCGCTCGCAAGCACCCAGGAAAGATCGGCTTGAACTGGACAAGTATTTGAGATGAATTGTGCTTAAATTGGAATCCCAAGCAAAATGCCCTGGCATCGGTTTGCTTTTGATCTGGCTAAGATATCTAGCTGATCTATGGTGATCTTTAATGACCCGATGATGGGACCCCCATTCGCTTTCCATTTCCTGTTGGGGCCATGCCACCAGGATTTTATCCGACCTTTCCGGTGCTTGATTTCTTGCCAGGAGGAGTACATGCTGGCTCTGCCTGGAATGGCACAATCTGACACTGGGGAGGATCGCGGATTGGGGGGTGTCCAGGTGTGACCCGCAAGAAATAGAAATCATCAGACTAGAAGGGGGACAATGAACTTCCAACCAAGTGCAAAAAATAGGAGGTGCTCGTTTTCATGGGTCAAAAAGAAGAGATTCATTGTAATTAATTCATAAACATCGAATCAAGAATTACGATGGGTGAATCTATGATTTACATGTGTTCACCTTGAGGGTCTAAAGGAAGTATGGATAAGTACGGGAATTCAGCTTTTGGGAAGCAACTGACTCAAACGCTGATGCTTCCCATTTGTAACATGATCGTGAAGACAATTACGGGAGTCTATTTTGACAATTTTGGTGGTGCGTAGCCCAGAGGCCCTGGCGGTGGTCAGCAATATTCCGCAATCTAAGTGTAACAACAAGCGCAACAGATGAAACTGCAGCTCTCCAAACAATTTATGAGAGGAGTCCGTAAAATCCATCACCATCAGAGTTTGGTCAGCCAGACCTTTTCTAGATCCGAAAATCAAGGCCGCACAGACTCTTCAAGTGATGTGTTTCATATGTTGGCGATAATTAATAGCTGTTTGATGTTCATTCTTATTTTTTATCTTCATCATATTCATCATATTCATCATATTCATCATATTCATCATTTTCATCATTTTCATCATTTTCATCATATTCATCATATTCATCATATTCATCATCATCACCATCATCGTCACCAATGGCCTGTGCTAGGTGGCAGGAGTGTCCAGCGAACAATGGCACGAGATGGCCGCTTCGAATTCAGTCCCTTTACGCCCAGCTTGGCAAGCCGAAACGCAGCCTGCGACTTGGCATTAGGTGGTTACCATGGGTGTAATATGGTTTAATCATGTTTAATCCATGAAAACATGGTGTTTACCCAGAAAACATTGAATAAAACAACAAAAACTAGGCCAGTTGGCTTGTAGCAACTAGGTTTGGGACGGTTTGTGATTCTTGGCGGATGCATGGTTAGATGGTGGTATAAGCAAACAGACACAAGTGAGGGGGGCTCTTGTCGTAAGTCTGGATCCGATATAGAGATGGTGAACCAAACCGTACAAACATATTATGTATCTTTATGTATATGATATTATATATAATAGATGGATGTAGACGGTTTATGTCTCACGTCAATCAAATTGCTCTAAATGAAGAAGGCAGGATTAATGTTATGTAGCCTCGAGAGCAATGAAAACCGTGCATGCAGGTGCGCTGCGTGTACATCAAGGGAACGGTTGGGGAACAGTGAGATGTAGTGAGATGGGGAGACGTCAATTCCTACCAAAATCCGGAGAAGAAATTCAAAAAATCATCAGGTAAAGGGGATTTTGAACTCGATTTGGCTCAACCTTTTCACCCGCCACGCTAGGCTGCTGGTCATGTGCATCCGCACGCCACCCAGCAGCAAAGGTCTTTGGAGGTCGGGTAATTTTTGTGTTCATGGCAGGGAACAAAGTTGGTTTATAAGTAGGCATTAAGTCTAGCAGGCAAAAGGTTGGAATGGTGGATATCTGTACAATGTATATGTACCCCAAGCCGGGGGTGCCACCCGGAGGTTTGTCATGTCACCAACTCTTTAGGGTTTGTTTGGGGGTTGGCTGGGGGTTGTTTAGGGTTTATCTGGGGTTTCATTAGGGTCTTTAGGGTTTCTACGACGGTTTTCATGAGATTTCACTTTCAAGGCTTTCTTAGCGTTTCATGTAAGATTTAGGTTTTAGGGTTTAGGATTTAGGGTTTTGTGTTTTGGACACAAATCTCGTCAGCCATTCGGCCATTCCGCCGACATCCCAAAATGCATAAAACACTAGCGCACTGGCCCTGTGCAGTCAAAACGCACTTCCCCAGTCCTGGCCGTATAAAGATATGTACATACTACATGCATGGATATATAAGATATATCTACCAGTGGATGTTGAACAGTTAATGTATAGCTGTGGGAGCAGATCTTGAAGGGGGAGCCAGAACCACCCTAGACATGAGGGTGCCAACGATGCCCAGGATGCCGCAGTTCATCGCTGGTGAGGAGACTATCAATATTCCATGAAATAAGTTCGCTGGTAACCCCAACAGTCGCAACGTTTTATTTATTTTTTTTTCTCAAAACCTTCTCCGGGACCTTCCCTGCAACCTTCTCCGGAACCCGTTGGACCTGACTTGGCTTTGCATCTTGGCTTCCTGGAACCTTCTCCGGAGCCTTCTCCGGAACCCTGTTGAACCCGACCTGGCTCTGCACCAAACCCTCCCAGACCTTCTCCGGAACCTTCTCCGGAACCCTGTTGAATCTGACCTTGCTCAGCACCAAACCCTCCCTGAATCTTCTCCGGAACCTTCTCCGGAACCCGTTGAAACTGACTTGGCTTTACACCACAGATTCCCCAAACCTTCTCCGGAACCTTCTCCGGAAAATGTGTTGAACCTGAGCTGGCTCTGCACCAGAGCCTCCCAGACCTTGTCCGGAACCTTCTCCGGAACCTCGTTGAACCTGACCTGGCTCTGCACCAAAGCCTCCCAGGCCCTTCTCCGGAACCTTACTCTGGAACCCTGTTGAACCTGACCTGGGTCTGCGCTAAAGCCTCCCGGAACCTTCTCCGGAACCTTTTCTGGAACCTTCTCCTGAACCCTGTTGAACCTGATGTGGCTCTGCACCAAAGCCTCTCGGAACCTTTTTGGAACCTTCTCCGCAACCCTGTTGAACTTGACCTGGCTCTGCACCAAAGCCTCCCAGACCTTCTCCGTCGCCTTCTCCGCAACCCAGTTGAACCTGACCTGGCTCTGCACCAAAGCCTCCCGGATTCTTCTCCGGAACCTTATACCGGAACCCTGTTGAACCTGACCAGTGTTGAATTTGACCTGGCTCTGCACCAAAGCCTCCCAGAACCTTCTCCGGAACTTTGATGAACCTTGATGGGCTCTGCACCAAAGCTTCCCAGACCTTCTCCGGAGACCTCCGGGACCTTACTTACTCCGGAACCCTGTTGAACTGGCTCTGCACCAAAGCCTCCCCGACCTTCTCCGGAACCTTTTCTGGAACCTTCTCCGGAATCTTCTCTGTAACCCTGCAGAACCTGACCCGGAACCTTCGCAACCTTGTTCCGAACCTCGTCGAACCTGACCCAGCGTCTGCACCAGTGCACACCGGAGCTATTCTGGGCTGAAGACCCCATTAGCTTACGCTGTTGGGGAAAAATCGTACCGATTACATCCCTTTTGATATCTTTTGATATCTTCTTGTTAGATTCATGGTGTTTGATCTCCTCCATTGATGTTTCCGGTTCTATCATGTTCTATCCCCATGTGTGTTGATGAAGAATCCTGCTACATTGGTGGCAATATACTGGCCATCCACTAGCTACATACCAACCTTTGCTTATTAGGGCACAGCTGAGCAGGTGGCTCACTACGTGCCCTCGCAAACCGATCACCAGGCGGGGCGGGAGCGGAGTCATTTTGAAAGACCATGGTCCCATGGTGAGGGAAATTTGGACATTTTGAAACTGAAGATTACATGTTGATATATTGGCTGGAAGTGGGAAACCCGGAAACCCATATATTTTCTAATGCCAAAAACCATCTAAACGTGGTGGATGCTCATTCATCAGCAAGGGGTTACTTGGGGATACGAGCCACCTGTTTCTTGGCAGTATTGCAGGTATGGTTCTATATCTTCAAGTACTATGGTTTGATCTCCATCACCTGAATTTGGATGATAAAAAGTATTCGCAAGTTTCGCAAGCAATAATTGTGCTGGTTGTCAAACCACCAACCAGATCCCACCTGCATTGGCGCGAATTCCTAAATCTGAAAAGGGGTTTTGAGTGTTCAGTCCCATTGGCAATCAAAGGCATATACTCAGATGTGAGTCTGCCCAAAAACAGGGGGCAGTGCTCCAAAATAATCCAAAATGACAATTTAAACCGGACAGATTATTGGTTAATTAAACATGATGTTTTCAACCATAGGATTTCGGGATATCCTTTTCTCAAACGAACCTAAATCACGGCTCTCCCCTTAGCCGCGTGGACACTAGGAGCAAAGCGCCACGGATCAGTGGGCAGCCGGCTCCTCAAATTTTCGGTGGTGATGTTCTGGTTTGCCACCAAATTTGGAACCACCAAGACACCTCAATTTTAAATACTTTTTTCTCGACTAGCCATAGGCCATAAATCGATATAAATCAGAAACTCTTATCTCTACAGAAACATCACGAACATATATCTAAATTGTATTCAATTGTGGTTCTGCCAGCCATGAGCGGGGAGTTGGTCTACCAGACATGGGCATTTAACCCGAAAAACAATGGATAACAGGTGTGTAGTTTGATTCATTGTTCCACCAATAGCCACTTACCAGGTTTGTACATATGTATACTTAATTATACATATATGGGTACGAGTCAAAATGCAAGGTATGGATCAATGCCCCGGGCCCACACTTGATCCATACCCCGGATCCATACCTTGATCCATACCCTATGATACTGCATGATCCATACCCTTGATCCATACCCCTGATCCATACCCCGTTCTCGTTGAAGAAAGAATGATGTTGGCCATTATGCTGCTTCTTATTCTAATACTGCTTCTGGTCCTCGTACTGCTACTCCCGTTGCTACTACTGTTGATACTACCATTGCTACTACTGCTGCCTCCGCTGCCTCCGCTGCCTCCGCTGCCTCCGCTGCCTCCGCTGCCCCGCCGCTCACAGGTCATGGTTTAATGTTGGGCATCAGCCCCTAAGATTTTACAGAATCATCTCATAATTTGGGAAAATTATGACGACCTCACCGTTCTCCCTCACTGGCAATCAGTGTTTATTTTAGGGGAATCATCCCAAAATAGCCCAATATTTCAGGTTTAGGCTTCGTCGAGCAGGAGGCCAACCCCTCCCCCCCAAATCTCCTGCAAAAGGAATCCCCCCGGGAGCTTCGGCCTGAATGTCTTTTGTGGGGCACCCGCGAGTCCCTCGTGCGGGGCAAGTCCCTCTATGCCGCGGCAGAGAAGGCCAAGCTCAAGCCAAAGCTTGTCATGGAAGGCCTGGCCTTCCAGGCCAAAGCCTTCGGTGACCACTGGAACGGCTTGGACCCGGGGCAGTGCCACGTGGTCAAGGATGGCCTCGTCCAAGGCCGGAAACAATCAATTTCACGGAAGGCAAGAGATAGATAGATCGATAGGTAGATAGGTAGGTAGGTAGGTTGGTATAGTTGGGTAGGTAGATAATTAGATAGAGAGATAGGTAGATATATATTCTCTTCGACCAACACATGGTAGGCCGGGGGTATTGCACAAATTCGGTCAAACATTGGAAGATGATGAAAGATGCGTTTGACGCCAGGTAGCAGTCTGGCGTTTTCCGGTTCTCGTACCGGATGACATTCAGACTTGGGACGCTGTCCCACTACCACCCGCAGTCGCGGCCACCCTAACTCAGAAGAACGCCATCTTTTGCACCCTGAAAGGCTGTTTCGGGCGATCTCCATCAACCTACATCCTTTTGGCATTGCTTCTAACAGTAACTCTTTAGGCAATTATACCCCAATATTTGGGGTATATATACCTCAATAATGTTACATCGACAATAGTAAAGGGGGGTCCCCCCAAATTTTATTTTTATTTGTTGGTTTTTACCAGGTTTTTGCAGTAGAAAACCAAAAATCAAAACTCTCCCCCAAGGCTTCTGTAAGGTTTCGACAAATCCTCTCTTTTCTGATCGGCCCTGATGGGATTCTCATTGGATTCGGATTGAGAACCTCTGTTTTCTGATAGGCTTTGATGAGATTCTCATTGACTGAACAAGGTAAAGTTTTGGATTTGGTAAAGGTTTGATTTGCTTTTCCTTTTGACAAACATGCAATCACACAATTAAAAGCAATTCAGCCACAATTAAAAACACAAAGGAAGAAGGGAAAAATACAGCTAGAGCCAGAAAGGTTATTTATTATTGCAAGTGCTAATTCCAATTTTTAAGTGCAAACGCAAGGACCTGCAAGGGGGTACCCTTTGTGGACCTGTTTTTTGCATGTTTTGAAAGGATTTTAATACAGAAACCAATTTTTTTGAACAAGGTAAAGTTTTGGATTTGGTAAAGGTTTGCTTTGTTTTTGTTTTTGACAAGCATGCAATCACAATTAAAAACCATGCAACCACAATTCAAAATACAAAGGAAGAAGGGAAAAATACAGCTAGAGCCAGAAAGGTTGTTTATTATGGTAAGTGGTAATTCCAATTTTAAGTGCAAACGCAAGGACCTGCAAGGGGGTACCCTTTGTGGACCTGTTTTTTGGCAAGTTTTTAAAATGATTTTAACCAAACAAACAGTTTTTTGAACAAGGTAAAGTTTTGGATTTGGTAAAGGTTTGATTTGCTTTTCCTTTTGACAAACATGCAATCACACAATTAAAAACAATTCAGCCACAATTAAAAACACAAAGGAAGAAGGGAAAAATACAGCTAGAGCCAGAAAGGTTATTTATTATTGCAAGTGCTAATTCCAATTTTTAAGTGCAAACGCAAGGACCTGCAAGGGGGTACCCTTTGTGGACCTGTTTTTTGCATTTT